CTTGCCTGAACCCCTGAATGCTTACCGCTCATAACGGCAGCGCCATCATACGCTTGGCCTACGAGGTTATTTTTGTAGTCCAGGCCATAACGTTCCAGTAAGTGTACTATTTTTCCAGTAAGCCCTGCTGCATCTAACCTCTCTGCAGATTCAAAATGGAGAAAACTCTCCTTAATGGCCCCATTGTAATAGTACCTGAGTGTGAAGGACATCTGTTCTTTTTTTGAAATATCCTTTGTTTCATCTGCCATGACGCTAAAAACCACACCGTTTTTGGGTGCGCCACTCTAATTTACCCGTGTAGAACGTTGCCGTGTAGAGCGTTGCATTAGTTCCGCTTTTGGCGCTCGCGTGTAAAATAGTTATAAATTCATAATTTTTTATTTGGTCAGCACGGGGGGGCCACAGGGGTGGCCAGGGACATTTCCAGGGAGGCACGGGCCTCCCCCGGCCTCCGTGTAAAACCGCCACTGCCTTAAACGACTACTGCAAGAGATTGCTCAAGAACGTCATGGTGAAATAACTGTTGAGGCCCGAGGTCTTCTTGCTCAAATTGACCTAGAATTTGTTGTGCATCTTGTTACTCTGCGTAAGTTGTTTGGGGAGACAAAGCTATTGTCTGACATGTTACAGTCACAAACTGTTGATCTGTCAAGTGCTGTTGACTTAGTAAATGCTTTAGTCCTGACATTGAAAGACCACAGGCAGGAGTCTTTCTTTGATGAGTTGTGGGATGAAGCATTGAATATTTGTGAGCAGTGTGATTCTGCAACAAGGTCAGTGGCGAAACGTCAGAAAATGCTGAGCTCTAGACTCAGTGGCTACTGCATGCTAAGCACTGTTGGTCAGAGGGAGGTAGAACGTGACAAAGATATGTTTCTCACATCATTTTTCTATCCTGTAATTGACAGCATGCTCAATGAGTTGAACAGACGTTTCTCCAATACAAACTGTGAGCTCATGAGAAGCATACAGTCTCTCAGTCCCCAGAGTGATACCTTTTTAAAGGAGAGCAATGTTTTTTTCATTTGGCCGTTTGTATAATGCAGACATTGATGATTTAGGGCATGAGCTCCATCAATTTAAGAGAGTTTTGGACAGAAAAATACAGAGTGGTGAAGTCAAAAAGCCATGCAGTACAGTTGAGCTGGTTTGATTTATTGAGCCATACAGGGAAGTTTTCTTTGAGCTCTTTAGACTGTGCAAGATTGCTGTAACCCTTCCTGTAAGCTCAGCCTCTTGCGAACGCAGTTTCTCCACACTGAAACTGATAAAAACCTTCCTGCGGTCCACCACTAGTGATGAGAGACTCAGTGATCTTGGTGTCCTGAGCATAGAGTCCAGAAGGTCCAAGGCTCTGGATCTTGATGTATTTGTGGACCGTTTTGCCAGACAGCACAACCGCCGTATCCTGTTGCTGTAGTGTATCTATATGATATATACGCTAGTAGCGTATGAGTGCCGCTGTGAGGAAAAAGAGATATAATGAACAATAAAACAACAAGCTTGAGCTTCTTAAGACACGGTGGCTTTATCTGTTCTCAATACCACCGGTAAAATGAATGTGTTGTATGTTGTAAAGCCTTTTTTTGTACACCTGCTCATCAACTGACAGTGAAGTACACAAAGACACAGACACACACACACACACACACAGACACCTGTAATATTCTTGTTTTCATGTTGTTGCTGATATCCATCAGTGTTGTTCATATTGCTACATTGTGTTGACATGATTGTTGCTTTTAAACGAATGTTAACTTAATGTTTATTGTCTGCATCCTATTGGACTACTGGATGTTAATGTGTAACACGTTTCCCTGTTTATGTGCTTTAGCAATACTGTATGTCAATATGGTCATGCTAGTAAAGCCTCTTTGAATTGAATTTCTTTTCTGATTTGGTTTATTTTACCTAAATGGATACAGGGTAGTGTGTTTTGTTTATAAATCACTCAGAAAGTTTTCTTTCTTAAAACAAAATGTGGAATCAACTGTCCACAGTAGTGAGGCTTCCATAAATAGGAAATGGCACATTGTTGTACCCTTTGTTGTATCCTGGAGTTTTGTTCACATTGAATATGAACCCTGTACCCTGTACTTTTTTTTTTTTGTTGTTTTTTTTTTTCCATTTTTATGGCACTATCTCTCTTGCATCTGCACTCTTGTACAAAATACGTGTTATAATAAATGTCATATGATTTTAAAGTAAAATAAAGTTTATAATCTTTGAATATCATGTGTTGCCAGTTTTTTTATGTGTGCCCCCCTGATTAAACACTGGCCCCTCCTTGGCCCCCCTAGTAAAATGTGTCTAGAACCGCCACTGGTTTAAGGGCAGGTAGAGTGTCCATGATATTACGTAGGGCTAGAAATCGGCATGACCAACGTGTGTCGCTTAAACGTTGCAGCTCTCTGGTTCTGCCATACATTTCTCTTTGGAGAGACAGCCATTTTGGGTGCACATATGAGGAAGAAGTAAACATATAAAGACTCTGTAACAAAGAAAAAAACTCCTCCGTTTCTGGGACACTTTTGACTACATCATCTAACACTCAATTCAGACAATGAGCACTACAATGGACGTAGAAGGCAAATTTGGCCTGTTCTTTGATCCTTGCCTGAACCCCTGAATGCTTACCGCTCATAACGGCAGCGCCATCATACGCTTGGCCTACAAGGTTATTTTTGTAGTCCAGGCCATAACGTTCCAGTAAGTGTACTATTTTTCCAGTAAGCCCTGCTGCATCTAACCTCTCTGCAGATTCAAAATGGAGAAAACTCTCCTTAATGGCCCCATTGTAATAGTACCTGAGTGTGAAGGACATCTGTTCTTTTTTTGAAATATCCTTTGTTTCATCTGCCATGACGCTAAAAACCACACCGTTTTTGGGTGCGCCACTCTAATTTACCCGTGTAGAACGTTGCCGTGTAGAGCGTTGCATTAGTTCCGCTTTTGGCGCTCGCGTGTAAAATAGTTATAAATTCATAATTTTTGTTAAACATTGTTGTACCCTTTGTTGTATCCTGGAGTTTTGTTCACATTGAATATGAACCCTGTATTTGTACCCTGTACTTTTTAATTTTCTTTTATTTATTTATTTTTTCATTTTTATGGCACTATCTCTCTTGCATCTGCACTCTTGTACAAAATACGTGTTATAATAAATGTCATATGATTTTAAAGTAAAATAAAGTTTATAATCTTTGAATATCATGTGTTGCCAGTTTTTTTATGTGTGCCCCCCCTGATTAAACACTGGCCCCTCCTTGGCCCCCCTAGTAAAATGTGTCTAGAACCGCCACTGCACCCAGTCGACACCTACCTAGACGCATTTCAGTGGAGCTGGCTTCTACGTCTACTTTATGCTGTGTCATGCCTGACAGCTAACGTTAAATGCTGAAGTGAAAATTGTTTCGGAGTTTGAAAAGACCCATGCTTCAGTCGCATCCCTCAGATTTGCCCTGTTTTTTGTTTTGTTTTTTTCAGATGTGCTAAACTCCTAAGGCATAAAAGTTATTAAAGAATCAATGTGCATCATTAATTAAAATGACAATTGAACAGGTAAAGAGGTGCAGTTGAAGTCAGAAGTTTACATACACTTAGGTTGGAGTCATTAAAAGTAGTTTTTCAAGCACTCCACAAATTTCTATTTAACAAATTTCTATTTTACAAATTTCTATTTAACAAATAACTTTTGGCAAGTCGGTTAAAACATACTGGGTGATCTGAAAAGTCATAGTCAATCTATCAATAACATAATAATACTATTAGCAAAAATGTTTATTTTCAATTCACAATCTGTAGAAACAATGAGAATAGAAAGGTTCAGAACATCACAGTACTGTTGAAATATATGGCAAATAGAAATCCTATATGGATGGTGTTAAAAGATAGATGGGAGGTGTTGAATGGAATTGAAGGATGGGACTAATAACAACTAACAACAACAATAACAAGATAACTAATAATGTAGGCACGCTGTGTCCATAATAAGTGTATGGGTTGTAGGTCGGATATTCAAATAACCATGCACATCCCTAACAGAAAAATGTATAAATTTTTTACATAGAATTAGGCATAATGATTAAGGCTCTAGATTGCAGGAAAAGGTGTGTGTGTGCGCGTGTGTGAGCACGTGTGTGTGTGTGTGTGAGAGAGTACAGTATATAATAACGAGTAAGAGGAAGTGTTTACTCTGAAGCTACAGACCTCTGAGGGATTGAAACAATTCAACGGACTGTTAAACAAGTTCAGAAGGTGAGATTGAAAATCTAACAAATAATTATTTGGATATTCAATTTGTTATGGTTATTTCCAAATCGATGCAATAGTGCAAAGTTCTCTGTATCGAGCACAGCAACAGCTATCTCAAACATGGAAATGAAAAAGGCTAGTGAAAACTTAAGTAACAATACTCATGTCATGCAATCAAGGTATGCACTTAAGGAAATATACCTCTAAAGTATCTGCTGACAAATTAACAATATGTTTGCAGTGTAAATTATTATAGCATAATTAATCGCACAGCAACATGATCATTAAGAAACCTTTGACCAGAAATAAGAAGCAGGAAGTCAACCTCTAGATGGGGGGAGACTACAGTAAAGACGAACTATAATGTTTCAGGAACTCGGGTGGTTTTCATATAACCTGATTTGAGTTGATTCTAGTGACTTCCTGCTTCTTATACCTTCCCAAGTTCTCTCACGTCACCCCGCTCCTGCGCACACTCCACTGGCTTCCAGTTAAAAACTAACAAAAAGAAATACAAAAAAGAAATAAATAAAAAAGAAATAAAATAAACAAAAAAAAATAATATTTGTAAAGTGGTTAGCCCACTGGCTATAGGGTGATGGCACCAATCTGTAAGTCGCTCTGGATAAGAGCTTCTGCTAAATGACGTAAATGTAAATGTAAATGTAAATTATTACCTTATACAGTCATAATGTAAAGGTATCATTGCAATATATGTTCATCTGTAATGTTTTTCTCCACAGGGGCACAGCATGGTGACTCTGTCCCTCTTGTCCCTCTCTCTGCTCTCCTTGTTGGGGGTCAAAGGGGAAGTGGCTCCAAATTTCGACAACTGCAAAGGTTCTTTCTTCAAAAATACACCAGTGTCGGGTCTGAATATAGCTCTCCCCACTCCGGTCGAGCCCAACACACAGGGGTTAAAGAATCCTGCGCAATGTCTCTCTGCTTACAATGCTACCTCTCCTGCATACATCTGTCAGAGAAACGGTAACCACTATTACTTTGCCACTCTGTATGACCGAGCCAGGAGGATCCCTCTGTACTCTGCCTATGAAATGGATATCAAAGGGGACCCCAACAGACCGGGGGAAATAGTTTATTATGAACCGCAGGTTTGCATTTTAAATGTTTATTATCACCTTTTCAATGTCATATAAATGCAGTGCAGAAGCCATTTAATGTGACTTGCACAACTACAGAATGACGCAACACCTTAGTGTACTATTTGCAGTAGAACAGGACATTAGCTGTAGAGCAGATTCGAAAACGATTGTGTTTATGCAATAAGCACTAGAATGTACTATTTCATACATTGTAATTTCAGACTAACTACCAGTGGCCTAGAATGCCAGTAATATAATATTGGGTTGTATAAAGCTTGAAGTGGAGTGGCTAATTTATAAATATTTGTATTTTTCAGCTTGTGCATCCTGGCCTAACACCAAATCAAATGAATATTAAAGGATCCAAAAGTGAGATCAAGAAATACAACCAAAACAATGGCTGCAATGAAAGCTCTACACAATACCAACAGAAATACAAGCTGGGCTGGAGTCAGGCTCTCGATGACAACTTTGGCAAGTACGACCGCGGGCACCTCAACGCCGCAGGACACCATGGTAATCGAGATGCTGCCGAAGCCACTATGACCCATACCAACGTAGCTCCGCAAGACAGGAAGATGAACACCGGGCCATGGCAAGAGTACGAGAAGAAGCTGAAGAATGTTTTGAGTGTAGGCTGTAGTAAGATGTATGTGGTGACAGGGGTGGTCCCAAGCGGCACGTGGGTAGACCAGAACCAGCGAGTCAATGTTCCGAGTCACTACTGGAATGCCTACTGCTGCACCGACAACAACGGCAAACCTCTCAAGTCTGGAGGTGCCTTGGGTCCTAACACAGCTCAGGATGGTGTTACAGAGTATAATACGTCTGTTACAGCCCTTGAGACTGTGCTTAGAGGGCTACTGAGTGTTGGCAACAATTTCAACATTTTTAATGGCTGTTAGTCTAACAGATGTGGAAGTGTCTAATATATCTGGTATGATGGTTTTTGGATTTAGAATTCATGCTTAGGCTATTACGTTTGTTGTTACTATTTAGTATAGGCCAACTGTATAATGATTATATAATTATGTTTGTGAACCTATAAATGATATTGATGTAGGCCAGTGGCTCTCAAACCTCTCCTTGGGGACCCCCAGATGTTTCACAATTTGCTCACCTGATTCACCCATTCAAGGGCTTGATTATTAGTTGAATCAGGTGTGCTATCTGTGGAATAGTTAAAATACAAGGAATGGATGGGGGTCCCTGAGGAGAGGTTTGAAAACCCCTGATTTAGGCTACATCAATATTTTAAACAAATCCCTGACCATAAATATGATCCTATTGATTAAATATGTGGATAATATGTATTACAATTTCAAAGCGTATCCTTTGTAGTAATTCTTCGTAAAGCGTATGTTTGCTTGTTTGGTCACACACAGAGTTGTGCAATCACCTCTTTGTCAATGCTTGTTGCAATGAATCTGTAACCCAATAAAGCTTGTTTTGCTAAGTAAATTGTGTAAGGAGGAAATGTATCCATCGACATGAATACAGAACTATTTTTCACATACTGTTCGTGAACCTGTTGGTACTTCATGTCAAAAAACATCGGATGAAGGCTGCATTACTGTGGGTGGAGATTTGGTCACTGTACCCTCTAGTGGTCGATAAAGTGCAAAACTGGGAAGGAGTATAACAGGGTTTCCTATACTCGGTCCTGGGGCCACCCCTAGGACTACCCAGCACTACCCAGCTGATTAAAAACATCAAAGCTTAATGATTCATTGGTTATTTGAACCAGCTGTGTTGTGCTAGGGCAAAAACCAAAATGTGCACCCAGGGGGGACCCCAGGTCTGAGTTTTGGAAACCCTGGAGTACAAAAGTGCTAAATACCACTCAAAACACTAAAACCACAAATCAACCATTGCACGGCTTGGTAAAACTGCACTTGGCCCATTGCCAAACCAAACTATGGTATGAGGGAAAAAAAGGATGCGAAAAAATCCTATGGTCAGGAGGAAGGAAAAGGAGTTGCTCTGAAAAGATAAGTGCCTCGGTTTCCTTCCATTTTTGGTAATCAGGGAGTGAGTGGAAAATATGTGCAAACGCCCCTGAAGAGAGGCACACTGATATTCTCTCATTCTGTGATTTATCCTACCCAAGGAGAGCACCCCACTACTCTGAAGGTATATTTCCAATTCTTATCGTTCATGTATTCTTTTGGTTGTCCCATGTTATGCTTGTTAGGTTTTAGGGCCTTTTATAAAAGTGAATTGTAGGCCTATAGTTTTAGTGATTAATAGTAGAATTTACTTAATTAAAACAGCTGTAGGCTACTTACACTTGAGTCTACGAACATACCACACTGAAAATATCTGTGTAGTAGATACTTAAACTTTCAGAATAATACATGTGAGCAGGGGCAGTAGTTGTGTAGTTAAACATTACTTGGACATTTTCTGATGAAAGACAAACAGTAAATGTGTGTCTGTGTGTATGTTTAAGATTATTTTCTATTCTATGTAATTTACTCTTGATTGCATTTCATTTCTCATCTCTGATCTGTCTGATCTCCTCTCAATCCCTCATTCATTGACCACCAGAACAGACGAGGGAGCCATTGCTGGGAAAATGCAGGGCCAGAGAGAGAAGATATTCATATTGATCCTCGTTGCTGCGCTCTCTCACATGGTAAGAGTTTTGACCAAACACATTAAAAGATGTATACATTTGCCATAACATTTAATTGATTGAACCATCATACTGTGTAAATAGACTTCTGGGCCAGTTTCCCAGATCTAGAGCGAGCCTTTTCCTGGACTCTCCATTGAGCATGTTTTTAGTGAAGGAGTAAGCTTACTCTGGGTCTGGGAAACTGGCCTTGATGTCCTAAATTTGGGTCAGAGTTGGCTAATTTGGCCAATGCTTGAATTTGAACTTGGCTAATTGGAATGTTACTGTCATAACTTGTTGAGTGCCTATATGTAAGATATATTGTTACACTGTGATACTACCTGTATTACAAGAGGTAACAATTCTCTGTACTATTACAGGTGACTCCTCTGCCAAAGCAAATGGACATGGCTCCTAATGCCGTGGATGAGCAGTACACTCACTGTCGGCAGCAGATGCTGGAGAAGGTTTTGGAAGGGGGTCTGCTGAAAGAAGAACTGAATAGCAGTCCAGAGTATAGTGCTGCCTGGGGGGTAAAGCAGTGTACAAAGTTAATCCCGGGAGGCGTCAAGGAACACACGACTGCATTGGTGGCTTACGACCATGGGGGAAATGCGTTCAGAAAGAATTTCAACAATGCAGTGGAGAATCAAGGTGGGAATGTCAATGTCTATAATGGCAACTTCCAGTTCAAATCCCTTCACTTCCTGCTGATGGATGCCATGAGGCTTTTGAAGCCAAATAACTGCCAAACTGTGTTTCGTGGCTCAAGCAAAATGTATGAGGCACAAGTAGGGTCAGAAGTGCGATTTGGGAGGTTTACCTCAACCAAGGCCAAACGTTCCGACTCGGAGGAAGTTGCTACAGACAATGGGAGCCTTTTCAACATCACTTCTTGCACTGTAGTCAACGTGGAGGACTACACTTGCTTCTCAGAAAGCATTGATCAGCTGATATCCCCAGCAGAGGTCTTCAGGGTGGCTGAAGTAAAGAGTGTAAGCAATAAAGATCACGAGTACAGAGAGATCGTTTTGACAAGTTCAAGGACTCACAGCATTGACAGCGTCCGCGACTGTTACCTCTTCCCCAGGTGAGGCCAGGCTATGTAACCGTTCGAAAAGAGAAAACAACATTAGACTACCAAATAGGTGTAGACGACACAAGAGTCAAGTGGTTTTAAAATGTCTACCTTATTCTTTGGAGAATTAAAGTCTGTCTTTGTCTGTTTGTCTCACCAGATCTCCTACAAGTATGAGTCCTCCATCAATCATCCCCACAGGCTCCTCTACTCAATGGCTTGGCAGTAGTCTGTCTGTTCTTGTGGCTGTATCTCTCTCTATCTCCCTGATCACCAGGACTGATCATCTCTGATAAACAAGTTTTGAATGCTAATAGATGCGGTAAAGAAGTCAATGGAACGGAGACCGTGGGGGATAGAAGAAGGACGGCAGATTAGCGCACATTGAACAAATCGGATTTAACAAAATAGATATTTGTCAAATTGTAATTTGTTATTTATTATAACATGTCCACAATGTGGTTACTAAGTCTGATTTGGATATATTTTTCTGTTTTCGCTGCATAACATTTAGAAGTAGTCCCTTTTCAGGTTTAGAAGAAGTGACTGCTAAAGGCTAACTCACATTCGTATGAACTGGTACCATAGATATTATAGAGAAATCGATGGTGGTAGTCAAAGTCGTTTTTAACTGTAATGCAGTTTCTTGGTGATGATGACATGAACATGTATTGGGGTTGACATCAATACTAGCATTATACTCTGATTTTTACCTCAACATAGTGTGATATAAACAATAGCCTAAATGTGGGCTAATTTTGCTGGTGGGCAATGAGGAGATTCTGGATCTTTCCCCAACAGCATCTTTCCCCCCATGCGTTTCGATGGCATTTCCATTGTTTTGGTCGAGTTTCATTGACCTCTTTACCACGTCTATTGAAAAGGACAAACACACTCACACACACCAACATGTACACTACCAGTCAAAAGTTTGGACACACCTACTCATTCAAGGGTTTTTCTTCATTTAAACATTTTTTTACAGTGTAGAATAATAGTGAAGACATCAAAACTATGAAATAACACATATGGAATCATGTAGTAACCAAAAAATATATTTTATATTTGAGCATCTTCAAATATCCACCCTTTGCCTCGATGACAGCTTTGCACACTCTTGGCATTCTCTCAACCAGCTTCATGAGGTAGTCACCTGGAATGCATTTCAATTAACAGGTGTGCCTTCTTAAAAGTTAATTTGTGGAAATTTTTTCCTTCTTAATGTGTTTGAGCCAATCAGTTGTGTCGTGACAAGGTATACAGAAGAAAGCCCTATTTGGTAAAAGACCAAGTCCATATTATGGCAAGAACAGCTCAAATAAGCAAAGAGAAATGACAGTCCATGAAGGTCAGTCAATACGGAAAATGTTCAGAACTTTGAAAATTTCTTCAAGCGCAGTCGCAAAAACCATCAAGCGCTATGATGAAACGGGCTCTCACGAGGACCGCCACAGGAATGGAAGACCCAGATTTACCTCTGCTGCAGAGGATAAGTTCATTAGAGTTACCAGCGTCAGAAATTGCAGCCCAAATAAATGCTTCACAGAGTTCAAGTCACAGACACATCTCAACATCAACTGTTCAGAGGAGACAGTGTGAATCAGGCCTTCATGGTCGAATTGCTGCAAATAAACCACTACTAAAGGACACCAATAATAAGAAGAGACCTGCTTGGGCCAAGAAACACGAGCAATGGACATTAGACCGGTGGGAATCTGTCCTTTGGTCTGGAGTCCAAATTTGAGATTTTTCCAACCGCCGTGTCTTTGTGAGACGCGTGTGAGTTAACGGATGATCTCCACATGTGTAGTTCCACCGTAAAGCATGGAGGAGGAGGTGTTATGGTGTGGGGGTGCTTTGCTGGTGACACTGTGATTTATTTAGAATTCAAGGCACACTTAACCAGCATGGCTACCACAGCATTCTGCAGCGATACGCCATCCCATCTGGTTTGGGCTTAGTGGGACTATCATTTGTTTTTCAACAGGACAATGACCCAACACACCTCCAGGCTATTTTACCAAGAAGGAGAGTGATGGAGTGCTGCATCAGATGACCTGGTCTACACAATCCACCGACCTCAACCCAATTGAGATGGTTTGGGATGAGTCGGACCGCATAGTGAAGGAAAAGCAGCCAACAAGTGCTCAGCATATGTGGGAACTCCTTCAAGACTGTTGAAAAAGCATTCAAGGTGAAGCTGGTTGAGAGAATGTCAAGAGTGTGCAAAGCTGTCATCAAGGCAAAGGGTGGCTATTTGAAGAATCTCAAATATAAAATATATGTTGTTTTGTTGAACACTTTTTTGGTTACTACATGATTCCATATGTGTTATTTCATAGTTTTGATATCTTCACTATTATTGTACAATGTAGAAAATAGTAAAAATAAAGAAAAATCCTTGAACGAGTAGTTGTGTCCAAACTTTTGACTGGTACTGTATGCAATATCAATGCACACAGACACATAGATATTCATCAAAGGTGACAAAGCACAAACTTGTCAAACCCCTCTTAGCATAATGATATTCTCTTTTATTGTTCTTGTAAAAAAAGATCATGGTGATTAGATAAGACCTTTAAAACAATGTCGTATATGTTTGCCAATAATTTGGGTATCACAACAATTGAGTGTGAGTGGTGTCCAGTTTTCATAGATGTAATTTATCTTTAAAATGACCATTTGCCTCTTGTTTTTATATCAAATAAAGCAATACATTTAGTATTTTTGAGTGTTGGACAGGCCACCTTTGGCATATATGCATTGAGATGGGGTGGGAAGGATTGTTTGATTGATTGATTAAATGTATTAGATAATCCTAAGTAGTAAGCTTCTCCAGCTGGAGACAACTTTACATACATTGGGGTGATAAGCATTTACATTTAATGAATGATGTAAGGCTCATAACCTGAATGTCCAGACATACAGTATGTATGACCTCTTTAATATTTGGCTTGTGTAATATGTGTGAGGGGAAATTACTGTCATCCCTATGAGGGATGTGGACAGAGAGTGCCCTTTCTCCAAGCTCAAGCCATCCTCAAAATCACAGTAGCACTAGCCTGTAGGTCTTAGATACAAAGTTTTTGCACTGACTCAATCACAGCTGGAGCCACACATGTTTTGGCTAATATTTCATCCTTATCCCGGAAACATGCATGGTGTTTAGGCTTTTGTTCCAGCCCAACACTGGGCTCACTGGATACAACTAATCAACCGATCATAAAGCCCTTGATTAGTTGAATCAGATGTTTTAGGACTACTGGACTGGAACTAAAACCTGCACACACTGTGTGTCCCCTGGACCAGAATTGAAGAACAAAGACTTTTGAGTGTTGCCTCATTGAAGCACATGGGGGTTTCTGTAACGAGGAGTTGAGGTCAAGCTTGCCTTACAACTGTGGTGCTAATATCAATATGCACAGGTCCTGGTATAACTGACGTGGTTTAAACTTGTTCACTTATTTTTTCTAATAAATATGCCAGCCACTTGCTGGTTGTAACTATGCTACTCTGTATTATCTGTCATCAATACTCTCCTCTATGCCACACCCTGCTGCCTGCTACATAAGATTAACACAGAATGATCCACAAGCCATATTACTATATACTGAGTGTACACAATATTAGGAACACCTTTCTAATAATATTGAGTTGCACCCCCCTTTGCCCTCAGAACAGCCTCAATTCATCAGGGCCTGGACTACATGGTGTCGAAAGCGTTCTACAGGGATGCTGGCCCACAGTTGTGTCAAGTTGGATGTCCTTTGGGCAGTGGCGGCTCCTGAAAAAATTCTCAGGGGGGGCAATTTTTCTGATGATTTAGGTGACCTACACACATTTTTTAAAAGATATGTCCAGCAACAACATGAAGACAGGGGCAGCATATAAGTCAATACCAGAAGCATTTATTGACTGATCTCAAAAGTGTTGGCTTACAAAATCAAAATAAGTTATCACAGTAAAAATAATCAAGGGTGTTCTTTCACATTCCTCAACACTGCATAAACAATATGCATTTCCATAAACAAATGAAATATCAGCTGAAAATACAGCATCTTGGTATTTGTTCAGATTGCAGGATCAACAAGAGCTTTTACCACATTTTTTGCCTCATGGTTGAATTGGAAATATGTGCACCTGAGCATAATTCACAACAAGCAAGCAGGAGCTTTTGATAGAGGCTACTGAAAACATTGATGCAAGTTATTGGTAATAAGACATTTTTATAGACTTCCATATTCTGCCCTCTTGTATAGATTTGTGAAAATGAACAGTGATAGACATTTTGCCTGAAAACAGAATTTGAAAGTAATTTCTAGAAAAGGTAAACACAGCTATCTGTATGGCTTTGTAAAAATGAACAACCATATTCTGGCCAATTGTATAGATTTGTAAATATGAACAACCATATTCTGGCCAATTGTATAGATTTGTAAAAATGAACATGAACAGATTATTTTTTTTAAATACTTAAAAAAAAATGAAAAATAACTATTTTAAACAACATCAACTGTGAACTGATTTGGGCGTGTGTGTGTTAAAGAGACAGACAGGGAGGGACAAAGAGAGAGAGAGGCTACATTACTTGTACTGAAACTGTTCTCTTCTCTGTTTCAATACAGCAAAGCGTTCAATGACTTTCTCATTGAAATCAGGCATGCTGAGGACTAGTTCCCTCTCCATGGAAAGCATGGCCAGTGCATTCAGACGTTCCTGGCCCATTGAATTTCGCAGGAATGTCTTAACTCGTGTCAAAGTTGAGAAACATCTCTCAGCTTCAGCTGTTGTCATGGGAGTAGTTATGAGGATGTTCAACAGAGTCACAGTCTCAGAGAACGTCTCCTGGAGGTTGTAGCTCATGAGAACCTGGTACAGTGCCAGTGCACCACAGCATCCCTTGAATTCAGGATTCTCATAGATCAGAGATAGTTCTGTCTTGAGCTTTGCCTTGCTCAGCATGGGGTATGCATTCACAGTGGCATTCAGAGCCTCATCAGGAAATGAATGGCAGTACCTTTCAAACATGTCTGCTTGCAGTAAGGTAGCACTCACAAGGTGGCCAGAGAAAGAGAACCTTTCTTTGGTGTGATCCAGGATGGTGTTGCAGACCTCTTCAGACAGCCTCTGCTTCTCCTCTTCTCTCAAAGCTGTTCTGGGTCTTTTGGCTCCTGTTGCTTCTTGCAGCTGCTGTTGAGAGGAGTCCCTGAAGGCAAACAGACCAATGTGTTTGTTGGCTTTGTACAGTATTGTTGTCTATGTGATGCACAGGTATATGCAATGTATCCATGTATAGTACAAATACTTCAGTTCCACTTAAAATGGGCAGGGATGCATAAAGTCTTTAGTGTTTAAGTTAGCCTTTGTGTCTCACATAGCCTGGATGTTCAGCACAGTATACAGTGGTGCTCATAAGCTTTTGATCCCATGCTAAAGTTGACTAAAAAGAGGAATAAAAAAGAAAAGAAAATTGGTGTCCTTAAAGGTTGGATTTTCCAACTTTTTTAATTAAGTCATTAAGATCAATTTCCAAAAGATGATTTTTTTTATTTTTGTATTCCTCTTTTTAGTCAACTTTAGAATGTGTTCATACACTTATGAGCACCACTGTACAGTACACATAGTATATAAAATAAACTAGATTACACCACTTGCCATATATAATGAGAATAATGTAATTTCAAACACAAATGCAGTCTCCTTTCATGCATACATTTTCAAATAAAGCTCTGCTTTGAGAAAGATCGAATGATATTGTTTAATCTTACCTTATGGCCTGCACACTGCTTGTGAAGCTGTCGAGGGCACGTTTGATAAAGACAGCATCGATGTCCTTCTTCTGTAGCTTCTGGTACAGAATGTCGACGTGGGGCATGATTTTGTGAAAAAGCCGCAGGAAAAAAATAAAATCTTCATCATGTAGCATCCTCACGTAGCCAGATGCCTCTCTCACGGTGGGCTGGTCAAATGAACCCAATGAACCCGTCCGAATGGCTTCAAAACATTCTATGAGGTCGTCTCGATTCTCGTAGACAGTGTTCACGACTCTGCTTAGTAGAAACCTGTTGAATTATTAAATTTGGTCTGGGAGGTCCTAATTGTTTCGTTGCCAATTTATCTTGATTTGTTCGCCGACAAAAAGGAACTTCTTTCAAAGAGACAATCGAGTTGCACTGAAGGCTAGCCATTTTGACAGTAGTAGTGAATTGATTGATGAGGCTACCCGCTCTTTTCTTAGTTACGTTCATGGTTATGTTACGTATGACGAAAGCGCGTAAGTGCAAGCCCTCAGAAACCCATAGAGATTGTATTGAAAGCTCTGATATTTGAAAAAAAATGATTTTACATTAGAGGCTATGAGAGACTTCTGGGCGATTTTCAACCTGACTGAAATCGCCCCAAAACGGGCGGGGACATTTGAAGCACGACTTTAGCCTGATTGGACATTTAGTGGCAGATCAGACGTCTAGATTAGAACACTGATAACTACTGTTGCCGTGATATAATTGATTAGAAAAAAAATCCCTTCCTTTTCCCGTTTGGCAGTGCGTCGCCCATATCGCCCTAATGAACACACCGCCCCTGCCTTTGGGTAGTGGACCATTCTTGATATACATGGGAAACTGCTGAGCGTGAAAAACCCAGCAGCATTGCAGTTCTTGACACACTCAAACTGGTGTGCCTGGCACCTACTACCATACCCCGTTTAAAGGCACTTCAATCTTTTGTCTTGCCCATTCACCTTCTGAATGGCACACATACACAATCCATCTTCATCAGTAAATTATCTGGATTCTGTATTGTGTCAGGTGGACTGTTGTGTCCTCACCTTTGTTCTGACCATTTCCTCATCATCTCCAAAGTGTTCCCTTTCAGTTTTACCATGGTCATGCATAGGCGTCTCATATTTGTTCAGTTAGAAACATTTCAATTTGGCCCTGTCCATATAGGCCAATTCCCTTGAGTGTAAAGGGTCAAATTCATTGAGAGAAAAAATGTGATACGAGGCTAAGTAGTGATATTTTCCCAAAATCAAAGGGTCGTGGAAAATATTGATAAAAGGTCAGATGGCACAAAATTGCGAAAATAGAATGTTATGAAAAGTTGAGTCCCACTTGAGTAGTTTGCCAATTTCTCTGGGATTAAATAATTTTTAACTGCTCTCTATTCTTTAGGTTACTGCTATGGTAAAGCAAGTGGATATGGCTACTAATGCAGTGGATGACCAATATATTCAATGTCGAGAGCAGATTCTAAAGAAGGGGGTCTATTGAAAGTGTAGCTGAATGCCTGTATGGAATATCATGCTGCATGGGAGGCAAAGCATTGTACAAAGTTAATCCCAGGAAGTGTCAAGGAATTTACGTCTGCATTGGTGGTTTACGGGCATGGGGGAAAGGATTTCCGAAAGACTTTCAACAATGTAGTGGAGACTCAGGGTGGGAATGTCAATGTCTGTAACGGTGACTTACGTTTCAAATCCCTCCACTTCCTGCTGATGGATGCCATGAGGCTTTTGAAGGCAAATAACTGCCAAACTGTGTTTTGTGGGTAAAGCAAAAAGTATAAGGCACAAGTAGGGTCAGAAGTGCGATTTGGGAGGTTCACCTCAACGAAGGCCAATCGTGCCGACTCGGAGGATGCTGCTTTAGACTGTGGGACCCTTTTCAACATCACTTCCTGCACTGTAGTCAATGTAGATGCCCACACTTGTGACTCAGAAAGCATTTAGCAGCTGTAATCTCCAACAGGGGTCTTTAGGGTGGCTGAAGTATATGAAGTAGTGAACAATGATGATGAGGAGAAGTACAGAGAGATTGTTCTGACAACCTCAAGGACTCACAGCAATCACGACTGTTACCTCTTTTCCAGGTAAGGCCCGGCTTAGATTCTAGTGTGTGAAATGTTCAGACTCAACTCTGTTCAGCATGAACAGCAATCTTGCTGATTGGAAATTAATTAACCCCCTTCCACCCCCTGCTCTCTCCCCCTCTCTCTCTCTCTCTCTCTCTCTCTCTCTCTCTCTCTCTCTCTCTCTCTCTCTCTCTCTCTCTCTCTCTCTCTCTCTCTCTCTCTCTCTCTCACTTTCTCTCTCGTTCTCTCTTTTTATCTCTCACACCAGGTCTTCTTTAACCTCTGAAGGCTCCTCTAATAGGTTGCTGAGCAAAGGCTGCATTTCTCTGTTTTCCTGACCATCGGGACTGATCTCTAACAAAATGAAGGTGTACATGCACACACACACACACACACACACACACACACACACACACACACACACACACACACACACACACACACACTCACACAATTGCATGTATGTAGCTTAGCTACTAATGCACAGACATTTGCATTTGTAGTTATTCCGGATCCCCATTAGTTGTTGCCAAGGCAGCAGCTACTCTTCCTGGGGTCCAATCACAATAACATACAAGAAAACTATATTACACGCTACTCTACCATAACATATCTACAGTACAAAATCAATAATACAGCAAAATAAAAATATTAAAATGTATGTGTGTACAGTGTTCAGTCATCATCATACAAAGACACACAGGCTTTACTCAGTGCCAGTGGCAGGTGTGTTAGCATGTGTTTGAGAATGCTGTGTGTGTGCCTATGTGTGTTTCATCACACACCGCGCTGTTCGATAAGTTGTTGTTTTATCTGTTTTTTTTAAATCTGATTTTACTGCTTGACTGAGTTACATGATGTGGAATAGAGTTCCATGTAGTCATGGCTCTTTGTAGTACTGTGTGTTTCCCATAGTCTGTTCTGGATTTGGGGACTGTGAAGAGACCTCTGGTGGCATGTCTTGTGGGGCATGTATTGGAGTCTGAGCTGTGCGCTAGTCGCTTAAACGGACAGTTCGAGCATTTCAACATGTCAATACCTCTCACAAAGACAAGCAGTGATGCAGTCAATCTCTCCTCCACCCTGAGCCAGGAGAGATTGACATGCATATTATCAATGCTGGCTCTCCGTGTACATCGAAGGGCCAGCTGTGCTGATCTCTTCTGGGCCAACTGTAATTGTCCTTCTTTGTGGGACTTGACCATATGACTGGACAGTAGTCCTGGTGAGACAAAACTAGGGCCTGTAGTGCTTGTTTTGTTGATAGCGATGTCAAGAAAGCAGAGTAGCTCTTTATTATGGACAGAACTCGCCCATGTTCGCTACAATATGTTTTGACCATGACAGTTTACAATCCAGGGTTAGACCAAGCAGGTTAGTCTCTTCAACTTCCACATTAGTCATTACAAGATTTAGTTGAGGTTTAGGGTTTAGTGAATGATTTGTCCCAAATAAAATTATGTTAGTTTTTGAAATATTTAGGACCAGCTTATTTCTTGCCGCCCATTCTGAAACTGACTGCAGCTCTTTGTTAAGTGTTGCAGTGATTTCACTTGCTGTCGTAGCTGACCTGTACAGTGTTGAGTCATCAGCATATAATGACACAAAGGCTTTACTTAGTGCCAGTGACAGGTCATTAGTAAAGATTTTTAAAAGTAAAGGGCCTAGACAGCTGCGCTGGGTAATGCCTGACTCTACCTGGATAATGTTGGAGAGGCTTCCAGTAGAGAACACCCTCTGTGTTCTGTTAGACAGGTAGCTCTCGATCCACAATATAGCAGGGGATGTAAAGCCATAACACATATGTTTTTTCAGCAGCAAATTATGATTTTAATGTTAAAAGCTGCATTGAAGTCTAACAAAACAGCTGCCACAATCTTTTTATTATCAATTTCTCTCAGCCAATCATCAGTCATTTGTGTAAGTGCCGTACATGATTAATGCCCTTCCCTATAAGCGTGCTGAAAGTCTGTTGTTAATTTGTTTACTGTGAAATAGCATTGTATCTGGTTAAACACCATTTTCTTCAAAAGTTTACTAAGGGTTGGTAACAGGCTGATTGGTCGGCTGTTTGAGCCAGTAAAGGGTGCTTTGCTATTCTTAGATTTCCTTCAAAAGTGATTCACTGTAATAGCATTTTAGCATTTTTCAAATTTTAATTTTTGGACGTTTGTCAAGTTTTTCTTCTCAAAAGAAGGAATGAAAGTATGTGAACGTGTGTTGTTATTGTTGGCAATGCTGACTGCTGAACAACACCAGTCAGCATATAAAATGTAATTCTAAGCAAAACATTAGTTTGTATCCAGGTTTCCAGGAAGTGTCTTGTTCGTGTGTTGAGTTCGTCTGTAGGTATTTATTTGAAAATGACAAGGTAACAATAGGTGCTTTCTGGTACCTCAGAGAACAACTGGTAACTACATGGTTCCAAACAATACCCAGTGGTGCTTATCTAAATTAATTTTAAAAGAGTAATTTATTACTAAATCTGATGTAATAACCACTTCCGAATGTCATTTCTTAGTAAATATCAGGTAAACAGTGGATTGTAAAATAAAGTGTAACTGATGAATCAATGTCCTGCTGGGGTAAAATAAATCACATGCCCAAGCTTTAAGTTGCTGGGACCTCCTAATAAAGTTTGATTCTCTGTGACATCTCGATAACAGCAACGGCTTCACCCTGCCTCTTGTTATTATTGATTGTGTGTGTGCGCGCATGCGTACATGTTGGTTGTGTGTGTGTGAGTGTGTGTGGTATTTTCCGAAGAAGAATTAGTGTGATAACATTTCCTGTTTCCTCAACATCCTTTAAAAAAAAAAACTTGGTACATCAACAAAGCAGTGAGTGAGTCAGGATCACAATGTATTTAAAGTTAAAGGCCCAATGCTGCCGTTTTTATATAAATATTAAATAACAATTAAGTAGCCTATCTTACTGTAACAGTTTTCTACTAAAATGGTCAAAAATGAACAAAAATAGCTTTTTAGCAACAAAACAATTCTCACCAAGAATTTTGCTAGGACTGTCTGGGAGTGTTCTTTGTGGGGACAGAGAGAGCACCTGAAAACTGAAAACTATCTGTTATTGGCAGAGAGGTTTGCAACTCTCTTTTGCAACTTCATTTACTTACCACTTGGTGATGTCTCCAGGCAAGCCGAAATTCCACCCTTGCAAAACCTGCTGATTAGAAGTGGCACGTTCGTTCATAAACGGGACGGACCAAGGCGCAGCGTGATATGCCAACATGTTTATTAAACGAATAAACACAACGACAAAACAATAAACTAACGATACGTGACAGAAGATCCCACCAGACCTGGACCAAGCAGTGTGCCGAGGAGGAGCAGAGAGGATGGACTTGGCAGGAGATGAGAGAGGATCTGGCAAGAAAGATGGAGGCCCTAATCAGGGTGGAGAGGCAATCCCAATATTTTTTTTTGGGGGGGGCACACGGTGTGGACGACGAGGCAGCAGGAGGCCGCGACAGGGCGGATCTGCTGGTTAGGAGAGGAGGCCACCAGATTACGGGGGCTATTGGTTCAGAGGGAGCAGAAGGAAGGTGTAGAGGCACGGCGAGAGGAGCTGGTTAGGCAGCAGAAGGAGCGGGGGTTAATAAAGGAACCCAGTCCCGCTCCTCGCACCAAGAAAGTGGTGCGTGTCGCCAGTCCAATCCGGACCGTTCCTGCTCCCCGCACTAAGCCAGTGGTGCGTGTTCCCAGTACGGCCCGGCCAGTTCCTGCCCCTCGCACCAAGCCAGTGGTGCGCGTCGCCAGCCCGGTCCGGCCTGTTCCTGTCCCTCGCACCAAGCCAGTGGTGCGTGTCGTCAGCCCGGCCTGGCCTGTTCCTGCCACTCACACCAAGCCAGTGGTGCACGTCGCCAGCCCGGTCCACCCTGTTCCTGCTCCTCGCACCAAGCCAGTGGTGCGTGTGTCCAGTCCGGCACGGCCCGTGCCTGTTCAGCTGCTCTACTCCGGAGCCAGAGCAATCCGCTTCACCGGGGTTCAGTCCAGCTCCGGTCAGCGGCTCCACTCAGGAGCCAGAGCAGTCCGCTCCACCGGTGCCTGACCCAGCTCCGGTCAGCTGCTCCACTCCGGAGCCAGAGCAGTCCGCTCCACCGGGCTCCAGTCCGGAGCCTGAGCAGTCCGCTCCACCGGTGCCTGGTCCAGCTCCGGTCAGCGGCTCCAGTCCAGACCCAGACGTCAGCCCCTCTCCAGGTTCGGGGTACTGTCACGCCCTGACTCAGAGAACTCGTATATGTTGAGTCAGGGTGTGTATGTTCTATGTTGTGTATTTCTATGTTGGTTTTCTAGTATTTGTATTTCTATATTGGCCGGTGTGGTTCCCAATCAGAGGCAGCTGTCGCTCATTGTCTCTGATTGGGGACCATACTTAGGCAGCCTATGGGCACTATTGAGTTGTGGGATCTTGTTCCGTGTGAGGTATGTTGTTTGTGTACCTTGGACTTCACGTTTCGTTTAGTTTGTTGTTTTGTCGTGGTTTATTCGGTTAAATGAACATGTATGCATATCACGCTGCGCCTTGGTCTGACCCGTTCATCAACGAGCGTGACAAGAAGGTTCACACTTTTACAGTGTTAGTTTAATCAGCTGTTTCACAATATGATACAAAACTGAATTTTGACTGCACTGGGCCTTTAAAGCTGGAATCCTTAATTGGTGAAACAGCCGCACCCGTTTTGGATATTACAAGAAGTTACTGCAAAATGTCCCTTGGACATCATTGCACACGCAATAACAGCAGAATATGTACTGCACATTTTTTTGACCAGCTTCACAGACGCTCCTCTCCACCGTTTATCCTCCCTTTCATTAACAAAACAATAACAAAGGCGGTGGGGCAAACAGTGGCGAATAAAAAAAACTATTATGACATATTTTGGCTTTTATTCCTCTAAATTTACACTTCTCACATTTCCAGTACGTTTGTGACCTGAGTTTTCAACATGGCATTTTAAACTGGTTTTGAATAGAAATGGCGATACCACACTTTTTCTCCAAGACACTAGTTCTCTATTTGTCCATGACCGTTTCTCTGGGGCACTATTTGTACGTGACACTGTTTTTTCTGGGGTACTATTTCTCTGTGACACTGTTTCTCTAGGGCACTATTTCTTCCAGAGGGGTAAAAAAGTAAATTACATTGACACATGAGCCAGATGAGACTCCTCTGTTTTAACAGCTGTCTTTTCCTGTCTGAGGTATGCTCAGCCTGAGAGGAGGTCAATATGTGGTGACGACTGTGCGGATGTTCAGATAGCACCACCGGTTTACTGAATTATTGCAGGAACATTTGTACACAGACAAGTTTGCAGACATGCGCACACACAGAGACTAACAGCAGGCACATAAACATGCACACACACACACACACACACACACACACACACACACACACACACACACACACAAACACACACTATACCAGACTGTACCAGACTGTATGTGGGTTTCTTATTTTCAGTCCCTTCATCCAACAGTTAATAGGGACAAAAAGTTGCTATTTGAAAACCACTGAGACACACTCATCATTCATCCACACAGTCAGAAGAACTTGATGAGACCACTGAAGACACATTTCAGTTCAACTGACTAGGTATCCCCCTTTCCCTTTCCTTTTCCTGTGCAGCAATGCCAATATATCTCCAGATGGAGAGATAGAAGCATACCCAACATCAGGCTGTAATCATGGATGACACACTGACACTCTCTAGTGGTTTATGAGTGTAGGGGAGAGCTTGTTGAGGGCCTCTATAGCGTGAGCAATGATTATAGGGGAGAGCTTGTTGAAGGCCACTACAGCGTGAGCAATGATTATAGGGGAGAGTTTGTTGAGGGCCACTACAGCGTGAGCAATGATTATAGGGGAGAGCTTGTTGAAGGCCACTACAGCGTAAGCAATGATTATAGGGGAGAGCTTGTTGAAGGCCACTACAGCGTGAGCAATGATTATAGGGGAGAGCTTGTTGAGGGCCACTACAGCATGAGCAATAATTATAGGGGAGAGATTGTTGAAGGCCACTACAGCGTAAGCAATGATTATAGGGGAGAGCTTGTTGAAGGCCACTACAGCGTGAGCAATGATTATAGGGGAGAGCTTGTTGAGGGCCACTTGCAGAACTATGTAGTTCTTCACAGTCCACTTGAGAGAAATTGTCCTCTCAGATATGTCATTTTGGAGCAGTTTGGAGAAACATCATCACCCATGTTGCTGTCTTTTCATGAACAGTAAATAAATCAAGTGAACAATAAACACCCTGAAAAATGAGGAAGTGCAACTGTTTAAAGTAGGGATTGAAGATAGTGTTGAATCACAAGCATTGGACAGCAAACACCTTTATTCAATCAATGCATATTCACACAGTAGCCAGAATAGGGAAATAGACTAGACGCATTCTGTAGTTGAAAAATTGCAGTTTTAACAATTATTTGCACAATTTATATACTTGGGTACATTCATGAATATGCAAGCTAGCATGAGTTTTACGTCAAGTGTCTGTGTATGAAGAATACATGTATTGGTACTAAATGACAATTATGAGAAAATACAAATATTATCCAAATGCTGTTGTTTGATTTTGGTGTAAGTGAGCCTCTTTAAATAAATCTAAACATTGCAGTACACACTGCCTTACAAAGTCTTTGAAAAAGCCAGTAAACACTATGCCATGGAGATAAAACAGGTATTGTTTTGTACATGTGATTGAACTCTGCACCCATCAAACTGCACAACATAGACCTGAACATTTTTGACAATGCACTACAGAAGCTAAACCTAAAATATTCACTATAATTGAGGTAAACAACGTTTATTTTTATTTTTTATCACCTTGAAAATAAAGTATATACAGATGTTACGTTTTGGCAAATATACGCACATTTTAATATATATTTTTGCATTATTGTACATTCATACGGGGCAGAGAGAGTGAGAGAGAGAGAGAGAGAGCGAGAGAGAGAAAGAGAGACAGAGTCAGAGAGACAGGAATGTGAGGAAGATGGAGAAAGAACGTTCAAATCTACACTGCTCGTCAAACATCTCATTCCAAAATCATGGGCATTGATATGGAGTTGGTCCCCCCTTTGCTGCGATAACAGCTTCCACTCTTCTGGGAAGGCTTTCCACTAGATGTTGGAACATTGCTGCAGGGACATATTTCTATTCAGTCACAAGAGCATTAGTGAGGTCGAGCACTGATGTTGGGCGATTAGGCCTGGCTCGCAATTCATCCCAAAGGTGTTCAATGGGGTTGAGGTCAGGGCTCTGTGCAGGCCAGTCAAGTTCTTCCACACCGATCTCGACAAACCATTTCTGTATGAACCTCGCTTTGTGCACGGGGGCATTGTCATGCTAAAACAGGAAAGGGCCTTCCACAAGCTGTTGCCACAAAGTTGGAAGCACAGAATCATCTAGAATTTAAGATTTCCCTTAACTGGAACTAAGGGGCCTAGCCCAAACCATGAAAAACATCCCCAGACCATTATTCCTCCTCCACCAAACTTTACAGTTGGCACTATGCATTGGGGCAGATAGCATTCTCCTGGCATCCGCCAAACCCAGATTCATCTGTCGGACTGTCAGATGGTGAAGCGTGATTCAGCTCTGGATTAAATGTCTTCATGGAATCAAAAGAGATGGATGGGTGGGTTTTTATCAAACAAAGCTCTCAGATTGTGTTTTAATACTGCACTATTTCCCTTGATGATTAGTTTTAGTACCCAGTGCACAGTACTTCACAGCACGTCCTCATTAAATATTGTCATGTTGATGGCTAAATGTGTGTGTGTGCGTGCATGTGTATGTGTGTGTCTGTGCATGTCTGAGTGTGTGCATGTGTGTGTCTGCTAAAAATTGCATTAACCACAGTAAGTATACACCACGGTATATCACAAAAGCAAAAACCAATCCTCTGCTTACATATGACATAGATCCCATAAATGTAAAAAAGAAATGGCACTGTACAACTCCTATAACGATAAAAGCAGCTTATGAGAGAAATTTAAATAACAAAATGGAACATCCTATCATTCTCATTTATACTCAGGAAATTGCAGGCTGACAGAGAAACATTGAATGCTCTATCTTGCCCCAGGTGCCTCTCTGTTTCTCTAAAGAAATTAATCATTTCAGGACATACAGTCCACAGCTATTTCCATCTGTGTGGTATCAGTCTGCTGAACTGACGACAAGCTGATAAAGGATGTATGATTATGGTACAGAAAGACACATTAATAAACAATCTGTGTGCAACAATCTTCCCTTTTCATTATTATGTGTTATATATATGCCCAACCACCAACCCATCCTAACAATCTTTCAAGGGGAGACTGCCTGAGGCAATAGCCAGTGAGTAATAGATGCACGCACACACACTGGTAAACTACTAGTAAGCTCTGCCTTCATTGCTTAGTCCAGATGTCACAAATCTGCCTACAAATCTGCCCGTCGAGACAGCAGCCTACCAGATGTCCAGTCAGTGTCGTGAGATGGGGGTGTGGAAATGTGAAAAGGCTGAAATAAATGCTTTCGAAAGCTAAGCAAATACAAAGAAATCGAATGAATCTCACTGCATCAAGCCAGCAAAAAATACTTTGTAAAGAACAACCGCGTTTGCAATAAACTCACAAGAAATACTTATGTTTGGTAAAAAAATAAAATAATTAAAGGCTTGCTTGGAATGTTTGAGGGACAGTTCGGAGGGTGAAATGTTCACAACGACTTTCCAAACCACTCGTGAACATTCTAGAAGGTGGTCGTGGTCATCATTAACATCTCAGGAGAACTGATTGTCGGCCACATCATCGGGGTCACTGTAAAGGTTGGACTTAGCTACCGCCTGTAGGTTGCCATGGTTACCATTGTTATCTCCGTTAACACCGGCATTGCCACGGCAGCTGGAGACGGCCTTTTTGATGCTGTTGGTCCTGGTGTTCACGCGGGAGAGGGTGCACATGCTACCCTGGTGGCCGGATCGGTGGCGGGTGTTGTTGTTGCGCAACTCCTGCTCGTCATAGCTGGATACCCGGACGAACGGGCACCAACAGAACGCCCGCTTGAAGCCCGCCCGGAACCTGTATCCAAACCACAACCCAAACCAGACAGACATACAATGAGTGCATGGTCAGATATTTCACATTTGAGAGGTGGCTAATGAATTCTAAAGAAGGTACACTGGTAGTTTTCTCATCTGGTCTTATTTATCTAGCCAGTGGTTGCCTAGGTTGTGTTCAGTAGGCACAAAGAAGAAAACATTTTTGAACAGAACATCTAAATTATTTATGGGAAAGGCTTATCTTCATCTTATGTTTTGGTTCCTACTGAACAGCACCAAGGTGCTGGATCCTACCTGCTGTTGAGGCAGCAGTAGATGATAGGGTTATACATGGTGGAGCTCATGGCCAGCCACAGCACTGACAGGTAGACCTGCTGGATGGACTTCCACCTCATCAGAGCCTTGTTGAGGCCCGTCACAATGAAGTAGACATGGTATGGCAGCCAGCAGAGGGCGAAGGTCACCACCACAATGATCATCATCTTCACCACCTGGTTAGGAAGGGGATAGTGGGAGGATGGGAGGAATAGAGAGACAGGGAAGGAAGGTGAGAAAAAGAAAAGAGGAGAGAGAGAGAGAGAGAGAGAGAGAGAGAGAGAGAGAGAGAGAGAGAGAGATAGAGAGAGAGATAGAGATAGAGAGAGAGATAGGAAAAATAAAGTACATTGTCTTTATTCTGTGTAGCTCTGAGACAAGATGTCGATCAACAGTTGGTCGGCCACCTCATGCCAAGTTTCACAGAGTGCCTGATTCTGAGATGGACAGAATGTTTGACGCCGAATATATAATCTCACAAGCGTGGGCACCATGATTGATTAATCATCAGGTTGGCATTTTCATTCTGTACTGGAAGCCGCAGCAATCTAGGATATACTTTTTTCATCACAACAACCCCTTTCAAAACTGTCATTCACACAACCTCAAAAGACAATTGCTTAATTTACACAAAAATGGTCAGAACAACCATTGATGGTCCAACGGTCCATACATTGGAGATGGTAGAGCCACAAAATAATTAGATGCATTCCCTAACCTGACAACCTAGAGCCATCACAAAGGAACCAGCTCACTTCAAAGATCCTGTGAATTTCATGAACTGATTGTGTCATTTAAAATCCTCAAAGAGCATTTCGAAACTTGAAATCAGATCTGCTTTCGCAAAAAGTTGGAACTTTGTTGCCTTGTATGGAGGAGTTCTGAGAAGTTTCATCTGATAGAATTTGACTTTGTCTCTTTACACGAGACTACCTGAATATCAAAGCTCAGACACGCCTGAACCATGCAAACTGCACTTTGTCCGTCTTGTCAGCGAGGAAGATCTTTGTCCATGTATCCTCACTGTTGTGTTCGCTATTGTGTTACTACTGTGTCATCACTATAACAGGTACAGTAGGTAATCTCATGATATAGTCTAGTCAACTATACTATGCTCAGAATGTCATGTGACAAGATGGCTGCCAGCCATTGAGCAATAGTGATTGTGACCACCAATGAATGGTCAGTCTGTCAGTCAAACAGTCTGAGCTCAAAGAAACTCCTCAAAGCCTTTCACACAGATTCTATTCTGTCAGTTTACTCTTTAGATTTAACCTACATTCGCTAAACCTTTGAGATTCTCCATTGAGCATGCTTTTTAGTCCAGCAGTATGCTTAATCTTTGTCTGGGAAACTAATGTGCAGTAGCATTGCATGCAAAGCACTAAATGGTGGAAAAGGCTTTACAGTGGCTTGCGAAAGTATTCACCCCCCTTGGCATTTTTCCTATTTTGTTGCCTTACAACCTGGAATTAAAATGGATTCTTTGGGGTTTTGTATCATTTGATTTACACAACATGCCTACCACATTGAAGATGCAAAATATATTTTATTGTGAAACAAACAAGAAATAAGACAAAAAAACAGAAAACTTGAATGTGCATAACTATTCACCCTCCCAAAGTCAATACTTTGTAGAGCCACCTTTTGCAGCAATAACAGCTGCAAGTCTCTTGGGGTATGTCTCTATAAGCTTGACACATCTAGCCACTGGGATTTTTGCCTATTCTTCAAGGCAAAACTGCTCCAGCTCCTTCAAGTTGGATGGGTTCCGCTGGTGTACAGCAATCTTTAAGTCATACCACAGATTCTCAATTGGATTGAGGTCTGGGATTTGACTAGGCCATTCCAAGACATTTAAATGTTTCCCCTTAAAAAAGTGTTGCTTTAGCATTATGCTTAGGGTCATTGTCCTGCTGGAAGGGGAACCTCTGTCCCAGTCTCAAATACTCTAAACTGAAAATACGTGGTTTGTCCCACTGGCTATCTAATTGTGCACAATTTGTAAGTCGCTCTGATAAAACATCCTGCTACAAGATGAAATGTAAAATATGATTGCAGCACCACTGTGTCCGTTATTTATTCTCTATAATTTATGAAAAGTGATTTTTTGTCCATTTCACTTGATGGCCATTACAGAATCCAATATAACAAACAATTAACTTACCCGGTTTGTGTAATGCAACAAAATAGGAAAAACGCCAAGAGGGATGAATACTTTTGCAAGGCACTGTATATCCCACAGATATAGACATCCTAAAGATTTAGATTAACAGTATGTCTCTGGGCTTGGTCATGTTTAACACGTTTACATATAATACGCGAAAAATGCTAATATCAGGGATGTTGACTTGCATTGGTTTTGGGCCAAGAATGCAAAGTAAGTTAGCATTTGGAGATAGGGGCCATGTAAACAAAACCAAAGCATGGATTGCTATTTTACCTTGTCCATAGACTGCTTACAGGGTAAGGAAACTAATATGTCACTTTGTTATTTGGCCGAACTATCCTTTTAACTACCAAGTAGAAAATAAATCCAAATACAGCAGTACTTCAGTCCCTTAAGGTCGAAATTGAATAGCCTTGATGTAGGAGCACTGAATTCAATCTCACTTTAGTGGAGAAGACTCACAGCTGGTGTTAGCCCTTCATCACAGACTAAGGATAGTCTTGCGGAGAACAACAACAAGGGCATCTGACGATGAATGATTTGGTCGTGATTGCAGTCTGTTGGGGCACACATGAATACAACTCCAAAAAAGGCTAAAACCATTAGACGACAGCTGCTTGGGTTAAACAAGTTAGGCTAAGTTAATTAATTAGAAGAAGGTGTTGTTTAGAGTGGTTCATAGTTAATGTCTTCATGTATGAAAACATTCCAAAGCACTCTTCGGTTATGAAATCAGCATTTACATTCTTTAGCTTTTCGAAAGTGGTTTCACAGCTTTGACAAGGGATCACATTGAAATGAAGGTCAAACCTTATTCATTAACCCCTGACAGGGAAAGGATAATCAAGTGATCAATCAAGCTGTCAGTCACCTTGTTTATGAACAACAACAATTAGGATCTTATAATCAAGGATCAACTAGCTCCACCTGCATCATCTTCTGGATGATTAATAATGTGGCATAAAGCTTATGAAGCAGTGGCATCTCTTTGTATGTACAGTGTGTTTGGGACTCTGCATCTAATGACGAGCAAACGTTGTCTGGTGGAATCCTCTCTGGAGCACTCAGAATAGGAGCTACACAAAGTAGGAGAAAGGGTATCCATGACGTAAGACACAGCAGGTTACAGGTAGTTGACGCGAGAACACTGGTGGTCTGCTGAAGCTGTCACAGCATGGTTAAATTGAGCTGGGTGGGAACAGATCGCTGACCTAATTAACAATTACTTTTCAACTAACCACAGAGTAGGACCTGATGGTTTGACAATGGGTGACATTCAGCCTAATGAACCTCTCACAGCCCTCATCTAGCTATGGTAAAAAGGGTTTGGCAGGGACGTTAATGGCAAATCCAGCAACAGGCTTATCAAAATGATGCAGTCATTTAGCAGATGCTTTTATCCTAAATGACTTCTAGTCTGTATTTGTGGCCCATTCAAACCCACTGAGCAATTGGAACTGTGTATAAGTGCAAGGTTCACTAACCTTCCTTCACTGCGTTGCTCAAACTAAATCAGATGATATCAAGCTTTATTGAGGTGCATTTCACAACAACAACAACAACAACAACAACAAAACTATAAAACAATCAAAAAGAGAATCAGTTCTGAAATAAGATAAGAGCAAGTAACAACACCAAACATGTGCTGGTCCCGAGGTCAAATGTCAGGCAGGATCACAGGTTACATCCCTGGATAAGTCACTGTAAATGATTACGGTTTCATGGCCTCGCCTATCTCTCCAAAACAAAGAACCAGGTGTGCTGATCCCTCGTAATCTGAGTGTAATCCTCATTAATAAAACAATAACAACCCTGAAATAAAGACTGGGTTCCCTCACAGGGTGTCCTGGAATAATCCCATATCCCAATAATTCCCATATCTAGACCTGTCGTATTGGGCGTTGCCTTTCTATAATCTGTGCTCCTGTAATGTTAAACCCACATCTGGCATAATAGATGTTAGTCATACGGGTTCAAATGACCTGAATCTTTATGGATAACTGTGGGGACCAGGGGCCGTATATATCAAGCATCTCAGAATAGGAGTGCTGATTTATGATTTATGTTTTGCTTTTTAGATCACAATGAATACGATAACATGGACAGGGGGAACCTGATCCTAGATCAGCACTCCTAGTCTGAGACGCTTGATACATACGGAGCCTGGACTCCAAGCAAAGATGCATGATGAGATACACTGTGTCCAGTTAATGGAATGCATTGTAATCTCTAAAGAGGAGACTAATCTCTGTTGTTTCCCTGCGTAATGCTGGATTACCTGATGGGTCTCCAAATCCAGTGGGGAACACAGAGAGATCTTTGTGCCATGTACAGGGTCAGCTATTTTTTCAATGGTATAGCTACATCAATTATTGTAATGACAATGTATTGGGTCAAACACTGAAAAACCCTCAAATCCACCAGAAGTGCCTGTTCAGTGTATTATTATTGTTTGCAGAAATTCTTTTCAGAACCACATTTCTAAAAGGCCTACAGTATTCTAGTCCTCACACCAAATTAACTGGAGTGAATGAAACTAAGACAATTGGGACGTCTCATGATTGTGCCAGTTAAAATGAATGGCTGAATCTACTGCATTCAATCAATGGTTGACACATTGGTTTTCAAATGGATTACACATGCTTTACCAATGGACCTCATGTGTATAATGGAGTTGTATTTTTGCGTTACCTTCCTCTTGGCTGTGAGCTGGCTGTGGTAGTTATCTGATGCTTCCCCCGGGATCTCTCCTCCCCACAGCGTCACCCCCACAATGGTGTACGTGATACCCATTACCACTAGGGGCAGCACATACACCAGCACCGTCACAATGATATGATACCTGTATACCAGAGAATAATAAATAGCTGTAAGAGGAAGGAAAAGCAGAGCATTCCTGTGAATGTAATGGAAAACATGGTAATTCTGCAGATTATATTTAATCTAATTCACATTTTTATTCAGTAGTCTAGTTTGCTCTCCTCCTTAACTAGTCTGCACTGGTTGTGACAGTAGAGCAGACAGACAGACAGACAGACATGTATGTATGTATGTATGTATGTGTGTAGGAAATTCCCCTACTCATACGGACTGACTGTCCAATTACCCAATCGCCACCCAGTTCTTCCTCCAGAAGCGGGACACTCACCACCTTAAATTAACTCACCTGTATGCAATCAATGTGGCAACCTGACAAACCTTCAGTTAATTCCAGTCTTTGTTGATACCCACAATTATTAAAGGATGTGTTTATTCAAAGTACACTGAACAAAAATATAAATGCAACATGCAACAATTTGAAAGATTTTACTGAGTTACAGATCATATAGGAAATCATTCAATTGAAATACATTCATTAGGCCCTAATCTATGGATTTCACATGAGCTGGAATACAGATATTCATTTGTTGGTCACAGATACCTTTAAAAAATGGTAGGGGTGTGGATCAGAAAACCAATCAGTATCTGGTGTGATCACCATTTGCCTCATGCAGCGCAACACATCTCCTTCGCATAGAGTTGATCAGGCTGTTGATTGTGGCCTGTGGAATGTTGTCCCACTCCTCTTCAATGGCTGTGCGTTGTTGCTGGATATTGGTGGGAAATGGAACACACTCGTACACGTCAATCCAGAGCATCCCAAACATGCTCAATGGGTGACATGTCTGGTGAGTATGCAGGCCATGGAAGAACTGGGACATTTTCAGCTTCCAGGAATCGTGTACAGATCCTTGCGACATGGGGCCTGCTGGGGCCTGCTGAAACATGAGGTGATGGCAGCAGATGAATGGCACGACAATGGGCCTCAGGATCTCGTCATGGTATCTCTGTGCATTCAAATTGCCATCGATAAAATGCAATTGTGTTTTGTCCGTAGCTTATGCCTGCCCATACCATAACCCCACCGCCACCATGGGGCACTCTGTTCACAACATTGACATCAGCAAACTGCTCCTCCACACGACGCCATACACGCTGTCTGCCATCTGCAGTTGAAACCGGATTAATGCATGAAGTGCACACTTCTCCAGCGTGCCAGTGGCCATCGAAACTGAGCATTTGCCCACTGAAGTTGGTTAGGACGCCGAACTGCAGTCAGGTCAAGACCCTGGTGAGGACAACGAGCACGCAGATGAGCTTCCCTGAGACGGTTTCTGACAGTTTATGCAGAAATCCTTCAGTTGTGTAAACCTACAATTTCATCAGCTGTCCAGGTGGCTGGTCTCAGACGATCCCGCAGGTGAAGAAGCCAGATGTTAAGGTCCTGGCTGGCGTGGTTGCACATGGTCTGTGGTTGTGAGGCTGTTTGGACGTACTGCCAAATTCTCTAAAACGACGTTGGTGTCACGATCGTTGAACGGAGTAGACCAAGGCGCAGCGTTGAAGGCAAACATACTTTATTATCCAAAGTGATAACACGAACAAAACAATAAACGAATAACGTGACGTCCTAGGTTAAACAACCAACACGGAACAAACCAAAAGGAACAAGATCCCACAACTACTGTGGGAAAACAGCCTGTTTAAATGTGGTTCCCAATCAGAGACAACCAGCAACAGCTGACACTCGTTGCCTCTGATTGAGAACCACACTGGCCAACATAGAAATGAAACCACTAGAACTACAACACAGAACTCAAACACATAGAATCTACACACCCTGGCTCAACATATAGAGTCCCCAGAGCCAGGGTGTGACAGTTGGGCACATTACTACACATTTTAGAGTGACCTTTTATTGTGCCCAGCACAAGGTGCACCTGTGTAATGATCATGCTGTTTAATCAGCTTCTTGATATGCCACACCTGTCAGGTGGATGGATTATCTTGGCAAAGGAGAAATTATCACTAACATGTATGTAATATTTTTTTGAGAAACAAACTTTTTGTTCATATGGAACATTTCTGGGAACTTTTATTTCAGCTCATGAAACATTGGACCAGCACTTTACATGTCACATTTATATTTTTGTTCAGTATGAGTTTGTGCTCCTTTATCGTGTACCTTTGATTTGAGCACATTTTATATGTTTGTCTATGTGCCATTATTGATCGTATTCTTTGTTGGTATCTAAGTAACTCCATTGCCTATGTATGTTTGTGTAGATATTGATCATGTTACTTAGATCCTTTTTCATATTGTAGTTACTATTGAGTTTTGAGTATATTTGGATGTACAGTACCAGCCAAAAGTTTGGACACACCTACTCATTCAAGGGTTTTTCTTTATTTTTACTATTTTCTACATCAAAACTATGAAATAACACATATGGAATCATGTAGTAACCAAAAAAGTGTTAAACAAATCAAAAGATATGTTATATTTGAGATTCTTCAAATAGCCACCCTTTGCCTTGATGACAGCTTTGCACACTCTTGGCATTCTCTCAACCAGCTTCACCTGGAATGCTTTTCCAATAGTCTTGAAGGAGTTCCCACATATACTGAGCACATATATGGAGTTCCCACATATACTGGCTGCTTTTCCTTCACTCTGTGGTCCGTCTCATCCCAAACCATCTCAATTGGGTTGAGGTCGGGGGATTGTGGAGGCCAAGTCATCTGATGCAGCACTCCATCAGTCTCCTTCTTGGTCAAATAGCCCTTACACAGCCTGGAGGGGTGTTGGGTCATTGTCCTGTTGAAAAACAGATGATTTTCCCACTAAGCCCAAACAAGATGGGATGGCGTATTGCTACAGAATGCTATGGTAGACATGCTGGTTAAGTGTGCCTTGAATACTAAATAAATCACAGACAGTGTCACCAGCAAAGCACCCCCACCCCATAACACCTCCTCCTCCATGCTTTACGGTGGGAACTACACATGCAGAGATCATCCGTTCACCCACACCACGTCTCACCAGGACACAGCGGTTGGAACCAAAAATCTACAATTTGCAGGTCTCTTCTTCTTATTGGTGTCCTTTAGTAGTGGTTTCTTTGCAGCAATTCGACCATGAAGGCCTGTATATATATGTTTTTATTTCACCTTTATTTAACCAGGTAAACCAGTTGAGAACAAGTTCTCATTTAGAACTGCGACCTGGCCAAGATAAAGCAAAGCAGTGCGATAAAAACAACAACACAGAGTTACATATGGGGTAAAACAAAACAAAGTCAAAAATACAACAGAAATACATATAATATACCGTGTGCAAATTTAGCAAGTTATGGAGGTAAGGCAATAAAATAGGCTATAGTGCAAAATAATTACAATTAGTATTAACACTGGAATGATAGATGTGCAAGAGATGATGTGCAAATAGAGATACTGGGGTACAAATGAGCAAAATAAATAACAATATAGGGATGAGGTAGTTGGGCGGGCTAATTTCAGATGGGCTGTGTACAGGTGCAGTGATCGGGAAGGTGCTCTGACAACTGATGCTTAAAGTTAGTGAGGGAGATAAGTGTCTCCAGCTTCAGAGATTTTTGCAATTTGTTCCAGTCATTGGCAGCAGAGAACTGGAAGGAATTGCGGCCAAAGGAGGTGTTGGCTTTGGGGATGACCAGTGAGATATACCCGCTGGAGCGCAGACTACGGGTGGGTGTTGCTATGGTGACCAATGAGCTAAGATAAGGCGGGGATTTGCCTAGCAGTGATTTGTAGATGGCCTGGAGCCAGTGGGTTTGGCGACGAATATGTAGTGAGGACCAGCCAACAAGAGCGTACAGGTCACAGTGGTGGGTATTATATGGGGCTTTGGAGACAAAACGGATGGCACTGTGATAGACTACATCCAATTTGCTGAGTAGAGTGTTGGAGGCTATTTTGTAAATGACGTCGCCGAAGTCAAGGATCGGTAGGATAGTCAGTTTTACGAGGGCATGTTTGGCAGCATGAGTGAAGGAGGCTTTGTTGCGAAATAGGAAACCGATTCTAGATTTAACTTTGGATTGGAGATTCTTAATGTGAGTCTGGAAGGAGAGTTTACAGTCTAACCAGACACCTAGATATTTGTAGTTGTCCACATACTCTAGGTCAGACCCGTCGAGAGTAGTGATTCTAGTCGGGTGGGCGGGTGCAAGCAGCGTTCGGTTGAAGAGCATGCATTTAGTTTTACGAGTGTTTAAGAGCAGTTGGAGGCTACTGAAGGAGTGTTGTATGGAATTGAAGCTCGTTTGGAGGTTTGTTAACACAGTGTCCAATGAAGGGCCAGATGTATACAAAATGGTGTCGTCTGCGTAGAGGTGGATCTGAGAGACACCAGCAGCAAGAGCGACGTCATTGATATACACAGAGAAAAGTGTCGGCCCAAGAATTGAACCCTGTGGCACCCCCATAGAGACTGCCATAGGTCCAGACAACAGGCCCTCCGATTTGACACATTGAACTCTATCTGAGAAGTAGTTGGTGAACCAGGCGAGGCAGTCATTTGAGAAACCAAGGCTATTTAGTCTGCCAATAAGAATGCGGTGGTTGACAGAGTCGAAAGCCTTGGCCAGGTCAATGAAAAGGGCTGCACAGTACTGTCTATTATCGATCGCGGTTATAATATCGTTTAGGACCTTGAGCGTGGCTGAAGTGCACCCATGACCAGCTCGGAAACCGGATTGCATAGCGGAGAAGGTACGGTGGGATTCGAAATGGTCGGTGATCTGTTTGTTGACTTGGCTTTCAAAAACTTTTGAGAGGCAGGGCAGGATGGATATGGGTCTGTAACAGTTTGGATCTAGAGTGTCACCCCCTTTGAAGAGGGGGATGACCGCGGCAGCTTTCCAATCTCTGGGGATCTCAGACGTTACGAAAGAGAGGTTGAACAGGCTAGTAATAGGGGTTGCGACAATTTCGGCGGCTAGTTTTAGAAAGAAAGGGTCCAGATTGTCTAGCCCAGATGATTTGTAGGGGTCCAGATTTTGCAGCTCTTTTAGAACATCAGCTGTCTGGATTTGTGTGAAGGAGAAGCGGGGGGGGCATGGGCAAGTTGCAGCGGAGGGTGCAGAGCTGGTGGCCGGGGTAGTGGAAGCCAGGTGGAAAGCATGGCCAGCCGTAGCAAAATGCTTGTTGAAATTCTCGATTATTGTAGATTTATCGGTGGTGATAGTGTTTCCTAGCCTCAGTGCAGTGGGCAGCTGGGAGGAAGTGCTCTTATTTTCCATGGACTTTACAGTGTCCCAAAACTTTTTGGAGTTAGTGCTACAGGATGCAAATTTCTGTTTGAAAAAGTTAGCCTTTGCTTTCCTAACTGCTTGTGTATATTGGTTCCTAACTTCCCTGAAAAGTTGCATATCGCGGGGGCTATTTGATGCTAATGCAGTACGCCACAGGATGTTTTTGTGCTGGTCAAGGGCAGTCAAGTCTGAGGAGAACCAGGGGCTATATCTGTTCTTAGTTCTGTATTTTTTGAATGGGGCATGTCTATTTAAGATTGAGAGGAAATTACTTTTAAAGAACAACCAGGCATCCTCTACTGACGGAATGAGATCTATATCCATCCAGGATACCTGGGCCAGGTCAATTAGGAAGGCCTGCTTGCTGAAGTGTTTTTGGGAGCGTTTGACAGTGATGAGGGGTGGTCGTTTGACCGCGGACCCGTTACGGACGCAGGCAATAAGGCAGTGATCGCTGAGATCCTGGTTGAAGACAGCGGAGGTGTATTTAGAGGGTAAGTTAGTCAGGATGATATCTATGAGGGTACCCATGTTTACGGATTTAGGGTTGTACCTGGTAGGTTCGTTGATAATTTGTGTGAGATTGAGGGCATCTAGTTTAGATTGTAGGATGGCCGGGGTGTTAAGCATATCCCAATTTAGGTCACCAAGCAGTACGAACTCTGAGGATAGATGGGGGGCAATCAATTCACATATGGTGTCCAGGGCACAGCTGGGGGCTGAGGGGGGTCTGTAGCAAGCGGCAACAGTGAGAGATTTATTTCTGGAAAGGTGGATTTTTAGAAGTAGAAGCTCAAACTGTTTGGGCACAGACCTGGATAGTATGATGGAGCTCTGCAGGCTATCTCTACAGTAGATTGCAACTCCACCCCCTTTGGCAGTTCTATCTAGACGGAAAATGTTATAGTTGGGGATGGAAATTTCAGAATTTTTGGTGGCCTTCCTAAGCCAGGATTCAGACACTGCTAGAACATCAGTTGAGATGTGTCTGTAACTTGAACTCTGTGAAGCATTTATTTGGGCTGGTAACTCTAATGAATTTATCCTCTGCAGCAGAGGTAACTCTGGGTCTTCCATTCCTGTGGCGGTCCTCATGAGTGCCAGTTTCATCATAGCACTTTATGGTTTTTGCGACTGCACTTGAAGAAACTTTCAAATCTCTTGAAATGTTCCAGATTGACTGTCCTTCATGTCTTAAAGTGTTGATGGACTGTCATTTCTCTTTGCTTATTTGAGCTGTTCTTGCCATAATATGGACTTGGTCTTTTACCAAATAGGGCTTTCTTCTGTATACCCCCCTACCTTGTCACAATACAACTGATTGGCTCAAACGCATTAAGAAGGAAAGAAATTCCACAAATTAACTTTTAAGAAGGCACACCTGTTAATTGAAATGCATTCCAGGTGACTACCTCATGAAGCTGGTTGAGAGAATGCAAAGAGTGTGCAAAGCTGTCATCAAGGCAAAGGGTGGATATTTGAAGAATCTCAAATAGAAAATATATTTTGATTTGTTTAACGCTTTTTTGGTTACTACATGATTCCATATGTGTTATTTAATAGTTTTGATGTCTTCACTATTTTTCTACAATGTAAAAAATAGTAAAAATAAAGAAAAACCCTTGAATGAGTAGGTGCGTTCAAACTTTTGACTGGGATTGTATGTGCGTTTGACTAGTGCCTGTATTATTGGCCATGTTAATTGCCTTACATCAGGGCTCTCCAACCCTGTTCCTGGAGAGCTACCCTCCTGTAGGTTTTCAATCCAACCACACACAAACCATCAGCAGCAAGTTCACCTCAATATACAGTTTCATACCTCAATATACAGTTTCATTTCCAACCAACCCAAAACTGTTTTCAGATCAGTGAAGATGAACAAGAGCAGGTGAGTAAAGGAAGCCACTTTATAATATTGAGATGCACCCGGAGTGTCTCACTCACATGAAGGAGTCGTCCGAGGGCCGGGGCCAGGCCACGTAGCAGATGGTCCGGCGGGGCAGGGTGCGGATGGTGGAGTAGAAGCAGAGGGGGAAGGCCAGCACCACGGCCAGCGCCCAGATACACACAATCACCACCTTGGTGGCTGTGGCTGACAGCCGGGGTTTCAGTGGGTGGATAATGGCCATGTACCTGCAGGGATGTCAAAAATCAAGTTTTATTTATATAGCACATTTCAGACATGAATGCGACGCAATGCGCTTAACAGGAAAAAACTTAAATAAAAAAAAAAATATGAAAATAAAAACAGAAATATTTACTACACTACAAACATAACAGGATAAAAAACTAAAGAATAACAATTAAAACTGAAAGACTAAAAAATCTCCCTAAGGATATATTTTAAATATGTCCACAGTTTTGGCCCCCCTCAGGTTCTCTGGCAGGCTATTCCAGAGGCTGGGGGCATAGTAACTAAAGGCTGCCTCTCCATGCATCTTGGTCCTAGGCTTTGGGATAGTTAAAAGGCCAGTGCTAAAGGACCTGATGGACCTACTGGGTACATTACTCAAAAGCATGTCTGACATGTATTGGGGTGCACAATTGTGGATTGATTTAAAAACCAAAAGAAGAATCTTAAAATTAATTCTCAAACTCACAGGAAGCCAGTGCAGAGACTTTAAAACCGGTGTAATGTGTGCTCTCCTTCTGGCCGTGCTGCTGCATTCTTTATGTTTTGCAATTGGCCAATGGCTTTCTTGGGTAGATCAGACAGGAGAGCATTACAGTAGTCAGGCCTGCTTGTAATAAAAGCATGAATGAGTCTCTCTGTATCAGCCTGAGATAGAAACGGCCACACCTTGGCAATGTTCCTCAGGTGGTAAAAAGCTATTTTGGTCACATTCCTAATGTGTGATTCGAAATTGAGTTCAGAATGTAAAATGACACCTATGTTTTTTATCTGGTGTTCTATCTTATTTGACTGTGAAATAAAATATGTGGCCAGATTCTGTGTGCTTTAGTAAGTACCTCGGTCTTGTCTTGATTTAGCTGGAGGAAGTTGTGAGCCATCCAAGTATTTAAATCACTAATACAGTCTAATAATTTATCTGTGGAGCTAAAATGTACTGGTGACACAGAAATGTAAAGCTGTGTATCGTCTGCGTAGCAGTGAAAATCAATGTTGTGCTTTCTGATAACGCTGCCAAGGGGCAACATATATATAAACTGAACCCAAAATCGAACCTTGTGGAACGCCACATGGGATATGTATTTTCTCTGGGTTATGTTCACTAAGGGTGACAAAAAACTCTTGACCGGTGAAATAGGTCCTAAACCAATTTAGAACTGGACCAGAGAGACCAACCCACCTCTCCAGTCTGTCTAGAAGGACATCATCATGCAGCACTTAAATCCAAGAGTACAAGGACAGAGAACTATTCGGCATCTGTGTTGGCTCTAAGATAATTTACCACTTTAACTTAGGCAGTCTCTGTGCTGTGGTGGGCAAGAAAACCAGATAGAATTTTTTCAAAAATACAGTTCCCACTTAAAAAAGAGCAAAAACTATTTCTCCAGAATTTCGCTTAAGAATGGAAGGTTGGAGATTGGCCGAAAATTGCTAAAAGCTGAAAAATCTAGATTACTTTTCTTCAGAAGGGATTTCACCATAGCAGTTTTTAGTGTAGTGGGGAAAGTGCCTGTGAACAGGGAGTGATTAACAATAGCTTGCACTTCTTCAGATATGCAATTAAAAACTGTTTTGAAGAAGGTGGTGGGGATAGGATCGATAAGACAGGTAGAAGGCTTAAGTTGTGATATCACTTTCCTGAGCATGTCTGTATCAACCAGAGAAAATAACTCCATAGTGCCTTTGCGTGGTACGCTAGGGCACATATCATCATACTTCTCATCAGGTCTTGTTTGACTGATACCCAGCCTAATGTTGGTCATCTTATCTCTGAAATATGCCACTAACTCATCACATTTAGATGTGGAGGAAAGTTCATATAGTTTTGCGGGGGTAGGATTTATCAGGCCATCAATGGTCGAGAATAGCACTCTCAAATTATTCTGATTATTAATGATCAAGTTAGAGAAATGGGCCTGTCTGGCATTTCTAATTGCCTTGTTATATATGCCAAGTTGCTCTCTCAGAATATCATAATGGACCTGCAACTTGATGATCAGATAAAGCGACGTAAACAATAGAGGATTTGTCAATAGAAAGCCCCTCTGTAATAATCAGGTCCAGAGTATGGCCACAGTTATGGGTGGGCCCAGTAACATGTTGGATAAAAATATTAATACATTCAATGGCCTTGGAGTCAGTCTCTTTGTCAACATGAATATTGAAATCGACCAACACAATGATTTTATTATTGTTCTCAAGGACAACAGACAATTGTTCAGAGAAATCAGTCAAAATTGTGGGGCAGTGCTTTGGTGGCCTAAACAGGGTTATAGCCAGCACTGGTGGTTGACATTTAAACAGTATAGCATGATGCTCAAAAGACCCAAAGTTGCCAAATGAAATGTCCTTACAGCTGAGAGCACTAGTAAAAATGGAGGCTGTTCCCCCACCCTTTTTCCCTTTTGTGATAGAGTATGAAAAGCTGTAGTCCGGGGGGAGGCTTCAATTAGAGCGGCACTACAGTCTGAAGACAGCCATGTTTCAGTGAGAAAGATGCAATCAAATTTGCGCTCAGTAATAAGGTAATTCACGAGAAAGGTTTTACTAGTGATTGCTCTAACATTTAAAAGTGTCATATTCAATGAGTTTGGGCCACTCTGCCCCTGGGGCATCTGCCTCGAGGTAACCAATGGAATAACAACCAAATTATTAACATTACAACCAAATTTTTTCTCCAATCTATCAGAATGGTAAGATATGACAGTTTGTATAAACTCACTAAAAGGCGGCGTTAGAGGAACAGAAATTAGGTTACGCACAACAACCATAGTGCCATTTCTACGGGAGTTGATATGCTTTCCAAGTCTAACAGGGAGGACTGGAGCACTACCAGACCCTGTCCGTCAGTCTATAAAATGGTCACTGAAACAGTTCAAGAGGTCAAAAGGTCAGTCAGGGTGTGAAAGCAAAGATGGTGGATAAATGAAGATTTCTTACTCAGGCCGTTTACAATTAAAAAACATTGTCACAGTTCCGGTCTACTTAAGCGGTGGCTCTCCCATAGACACCAATGTGATCGCAGCTGTGTCTGGTCTACTTCATTGACTGTATATGACTTTTTTTATTTTGAGTAGCGCTTATGCCCTGACTAAAGTTAATGCATACAATTTAGTATGCAGCACCCACTGGGCACACACTGGTTGAATCAACATAATTTCCACATAATTTTAATGAAATTACGTTGAACCAACGTGGAATAGACGTTGAATTGACATCTGTGCCCAGTGGGAAATGTCTTGTTGTACAACTGCATTCTTTATAAGCTCTCATTTGTATTTACAAAAATATATTTGGCGGTGGCTGTGTTTGATCAACTATAAAAGCGACAAAGAAGAGGATGAGATGCGAGTGTTGTTTCTGTCTCGCTGGAGAGTTCTGAGTGTTGTCAAACATTGAGGCCTCCATTTTCCGAACGTGAATTAAACAAGCTCCTCTTGACAAAAGCCAGACCGCAGGTTGAAATACTACGATGTCAAATCAAACAGTAAATGAAATACCGATCTTCTCTGGAGCAGTGTGTCTCTGTGTCTGTGCCCAATTTCAGATTGCTTTAACATATATTTACAGTATCTCAGGTACTTAAAACAAAGGATGCCCCATGTGGAGCTAGTTATGATTGATTGACTCTGACTCTTCCCAGTCTATCTTTAATTGGATTCAACAGTGCTGTTTGTTTGGTTTTCGGTAAACATAGATTCCATTTCCCCAGAACTTACTGCTAGACTGTCAGGTTTCATCCTCAGTCCTTACCTTACCTTACCTTACCTACCTTACCTTACCTTACCTTACCTTACCTTACCTACCTTACCTTACCTACCATACCTTACCGTACCTTACCGTACCTTACCTTACCTTACCTACCTTACCTTACCTTACCTTACCACTTACCTTACCTTACTACCTTACCTACTTACCTACCTTACCTTACCTTACCTTACCTTACCTTACCTTACCTTACCTTACCTTACTTACCTTACCTTACCTTACTTTCCTTCCTTACCTTACCTACCTTACCTGTCCTGTCCTGTCCTGTCCTGTCCTGTCCTGTCCTGTCCTGTCCTGTCCTGTCCTGTCCTGTCCTGTCGTCCTGTCCTGTCCTGTCCTGTCCTGTCCTGTCTGTCTGGTCTGTCTGTCTGTCTGTCTGTCTGTCTGTCTGTCTGTCTGTCTGTCTGTCTGCCTGTCTGCCTGCCTGCCTGCCTGCCTGCCTGCCTGCCTGCCTGCCTGCCTGCCTGCCTGCCTGCCTGCCTGCGTGAGTGTATACCTGTACTGAGTGTGTGCTCTGTCTTTGATTCTGTGTATCAAAGGCCCACAGTAGGCCTATAAGTAGTCAGGTCGTGCTCATGCCCAGGCAGATTAACTCCTTTGACTAACTTCAAAGTGAGATGAAAAGAGATGTTGGACTGTAGTCCTACTGTGCAGCACAACGTGTAAAGGTATAAAATTGACCTCCAGACACCTGGGGCCTCATTTATTTCTGTTTTGATGTTAAGGTTATAAAACAGTCATAAATAATTATTAGTAGGCTACTGTTATTTGAGTGAATTCCGAAAAAGTGGGACACTTTTTGCATTTCTGTCTTCTGTAACCTCTTCACACATCTATCCAACACATTATACATTTCTGAAATCCTCAGATGTTTCTGTAGAGGTGTGGGCAGAATGTTTTTATCTTCAGCGGTGACTTAAAAAAAATAAAAAATCATGCCTATAGCGAGTGCCAAACACTGTCCGCACATTCTGCAAGATTGTCTATTGAACAATTTAAAAGATAAATGCTGTCTACAGCCCACACTTCTATGCAAAAGACAAATTGTTGTTCAATATTTTGTTTATCAATACATGATTGTGTTTCTATCTCCTGTCTTGATAAAGGCTCTGAGATTAAATAGGCTATGTCACGCTCCTATCGCACAGCAATACTGTAGCCTACCGTTACTGTCATAGGCTACCGGTCTATTTACTTTTGAGCATGGTTGGCTATTAAATGTGCGATGGATAAATGGTAGCCTAATATTTGTTATATAGAGGGAATAAACCAGTTATGTCAGAAAAGTAGAGACATGCCCTGTTATATGATTATGATTTAGGCCTATATAATAAATGTACATATAGGCTATTAGGCGAGATGCTGCTATGTAATCTTCTTACCAAGGCAAATGCATCTGTTTTATAAAGGCCTACGTTTTATTGTTTTCATTAGCCTACCATTATTATAATTCCTGTGCGTCAAACAACTCTATTTCCCCCAAAAATAACAACATTTGCTTGCAATTCAGTTGATCAACCAATAGAAGTTCTGAGTATGCATGGTCTTAGATATGCATGGAGATACACACTTTCCCATCAAGTTCAAAATGGATGGATACCAACTTTTGTAGGAAAACTGGCACACGCAAAATGTGTGTATTTTTCGTCCACATGCACCTTTGATAAATGAGGCCCCTGCAATGTTTCACCCCGAGAAGAAGCACAGCAGGGTAAATCCAGTGTGTGCTACAGGAGGGGGTCGCAGTTCTGGAGCGACCCACTAGGTGTCATCCTCCGACAACCTTAGGCACCTCCTCACTCACAGTCTGGACTAATAAGTATCCTATTGGTGTCACCTGTGTCTACCTGTTCACCTGTGTATTTATGCCCTCACTTCCCTTGCTCAGTTTTCTCTGTTAGTTTCTCTATGTCCAGCAGTACTACTCAGTGTCTGATTGGAGACCTATGTACAGGTACTTGAGAAGTGTTCCCCCTGTTTCGTTATTTGTTTCAGTCGTAAGTAGTAGCCTCCCGAGTGGCGCAGTGGTCTAAGGCACTGCATCGCAGTGCTAGCTGTGCCACTAGAGATCCTGGTTCGAATCCAGGCTCTGCTGTAGCCGGCCGCAACCGGGAGACCAATGGGGCAGCGCACAATTGGCCCAGGGTAGGGGAGGGAATGGCCGGCAGGGAGGTAGCTCAGTTGGTAGAGCATGGCGTTTGCAACGCCAGGGTTGTGGGTTCGATTCCCACGGGGGGGCAGTATAAAAAAAGAATAATGTATGCACTAACTGTAAGTCGCTCTGGATAAGAGCGTCTGCTAAATGACGTAAATGTAGTATTTCGGCTGTCAGATGGTTTTTGGAGACTTATTTGCTCCGCCTTTCTTTTATCGTGTTAAGTCCGTTATTTTGTATTCTGGCTTCGGGACCACCAGTAAAGATCCTTGTTTCACCATCTCTGCCTACTGCCTACTGTATATCCTGCACATTTCTATATTTTAGTCATTTAGCAGACAATCTTATCCAGAGCGACTTACAGTAGTGAGTGCATACATTTTCATACTAGTCCCCCGTGGGAATCGAACCCACAACCCTGGTGTTGCAACCGCCATGCTCTACCAACTGAGCTACACAGGACTGCACCGCACCTGGGTCACACCTCACACCAACCGTTACACATGTGTATGCACACGTGCGTGTGTTTATGTGGGGCAGCTTGCTCGCTCGTGTGTGTCTGTGTGTTGGTGTTAGTATAGTTTTCATATAAGCACTCTTGGCACTTAAAGCCATTATTTCACAGCAGGTACTGCATTTTAATTATTTAATCAGCACGTCCCTCCATAATGATAGGTTGGCTGCACAGTGGAGCTCATTAGACGTAATCTATCTCTTTTATACACCAACTAGTAATGCAATGCTTGATCAAATCCTCAAGAACCTTAATCGTTTTCTCATTTTGTGTGCATCCCAAATGGCACCCTATTCCCTTTATAGTGCAGTACTTTTGCCCATCACCCATAGGGCTCAAAAGTAGTGCAATATACAGTACAGGGAAAAGGGTGCCATTTGGGATGCACATTGTGTCGCAGGATCTTTATTAGTTAGAATAGTGGATTAAAAGCTACATTCAGTTCATTCTCATTTTGACAGAATGTAAGGAGAGGGTTGGTTTCCCATTTGTTTGTGTGTTTGTGTTAATGACCTGTATGCATACATGGCATGAATAACAGGCTATTATGATGCATGAAAATTTTGGCATCTGAGCAATATCAGGTGCCTTGTTATATATACCATTAGGCCTACCTTTTTCTTATTTGATTTTAGGGTTTGATTATAGAATCAGTACATTAGGCTATTATACACTAAACCGGCCTAGCATTAAATAAATCATAATAAATTGTCACATTTAATATAGGCCAATACAATGCATTTCACCAAATGTAATAGAATGTATGAGATTGAAGTTGATGTCTCCAGAGCTCACCTGTCGACTGCTATTGCGCTCATTGAATAGATGCTTGAAAACACTGCTGTTACTGGGAAAAAGTTGTGGAACTTGCAGTATGATTCTCCAAAGTACCAATTGCCGTGAGCAGCATATATGAAATTAATCAACGTGTTGAACGCGGCCATTGAGGCGTCGGAGAAAGCCAAGTTGAGTAAAAAGTAGTTTGTCACGGTCCGCATCCTCTTGTGTGCCAATACGATCCAAATCACTATCAGGTTCCCAAAAACCGCCACGGCGAGCACAAGGCTGTACGCGACGGACCATAGCACGATGCGCCAAGGCGGTTGTACGAACTGATTTGTAAAGGTCCTAGTTGTGTTTGATCCATTGTTTGCCGCAGCCATTCCCCTAGTCTCCCTGCCGAGATTTACTTGGATTCAATGCCTGGAGGTGGCAGCAGTTGCATTGGCACACACCTCTTCATTTATATTTCTGTTCCCTAGTACAGAGCCAACGCGTTTGGGAGCAGTTGACACTTGAGGTGCGCGGAACTTCTGATCTATAGGATAGGCTACTACTTAAATAGGCTACCGATAATATTCTAACAGTTCTTTGGGAAACAGAGATTGTCCTTTGTTTTGCTCCGCATAAGTGAACGTATCCTAGAGCTCTGGGCAGCAGTAGGATCAAAAGGGATTGACTGTGCTGAGTCGTGCGCTGCGCATAGTGAATCAATCAGGTGGTGTTCCATTAAATTCCACACATCACACTCCACTCCCCTTTCTAATAACATCCTCAGTCATTCACTGGAATGCATCCGCAACTGCGCAACACTTTGAAAACTGTAGATAATTCAGCTACGCTTCCATACAAATGAGACATAAACATATGGCAAGCATGGAATTTGATGGCAAGTCACTTATAAATGCTTACATAATCATGATAAACGACATGCACGCATCAGGCACTGATTAAAGGCCTGCCGCATCTGTCGCCTCCATTTCAATCATGGGACATCTCCGTGTTCAAATGGGCTTTGTCATTGTCACTGCAAGCATTGAAGAATATAAGTTTATTGACTAAGTTGAATAAACATTCATATTTGATAAAGGTGTCTAGTATCTCCAAAATGTGTTGTTTTTACCCTAAATAACTCTCTTAATTCCCAAGACCCTACCACCAAAATGATTTGAGTTCCCAATAGGCCTTTATCAACCTTTTCCGGATGGACTGACTCTATGATCCTAATGCACTCATTCAAATCAGTCAATCAAACTTTCAGGGTACCAAACCAATATGTAGTTTTGAAGCTTCAGCTTTGGAGTTCTTGCTCCATTGTGACTGAGCAACTTGTATCTCATAGTAAAAGTCACAATCTGAATACTACACAGCCCCCCTCAGTATAACACAGCATCCAAACCACCAAGCATCATCATTTGTGTCACCTAAGCAGTGTAGAAACGACAGTGAGGGTTCATCCCAAACGGCACCCTATTCCCATTATAGTGCATTACTTTGGGGGCACTGGTCAAACGTGGTACACTATATAGGGAATAGGGTGCTTTTTGGGACACACCCAGGGGCAGGTGGGGAAGTGCCTTTTATCCACTAATTCACATGCTCAGTAGAATAGGTATAAAAGATTGTGGTGGATCCCACACCGATGTAAAGCCATTAATGTCCCCGACCACAGGTGTTCACTGCAGAGCGAGTCAGGCCAATTAGGCTTCTCTCTCCCCTTCTCCTGGTGGGTTCCCCTAGCAATTATGCAGGATTACACCTGATGGGTTCCCATGTGCCCCTTTTAATGAGTCACATAACAGTCTGCGCTCCTTCCTAGCTGGATTACTTATGGGGAGCTGTAAGGGACATTTTCTGGTGGTGTGGGAATACAGTGGGGGTGACTTGCGCGCACCACACACACACACACACACACACACACACACACACACACACACACACACACACACACACACACACACACACACACACACACACACACACACAGACAGACAGAGTCAGGGGGTCGGTGAGTCATCAGATATTCGTTGTCTGCAGGCATCCTTGTCTCCGCCATCACCATAACAATGGGAGTCATTGTCACAAAGGTGGAAGGGCAGGCAGGAGGATGCGAGATCAGGTGGGAACATTCTAGCTAATTAGAGGGCAGATATGTGTGTGAATAACAGACACAACTCCACCGGAGAAGATGGCTGCCGTTTTACAGCCCTCTAACCAATTGTCATATTATGTGTGTTTTTCCGCATTATTTGTAATTTATTTTGTACATAATGTTTCTGCCATCGTCTCTTATAACCAAAAAGAGCTTCTGGATACAGTATCAGGACAGCGATTACTCACCTCGTATTGGACGAAGATTTTTTCTTCAACGAGGCGGCCGCGAAGGATATCCTACAGACACCCGACAAGGCCCAAATCCCCATCATTCGCATGAGAAAGAGACTGAGATATCGTGGACGTAGGTAGGGGTGCCTTGTAAGGATCCGACGGCGAGCGAGTAAACTGCCTCTTCCATCAATCCTATTAGCCAACCTTCAATCATTTGAGAATAAATTGGATGACCTAAGATTAAGGTTATCCTACCAATGGGACATTAAAAACTGTAATATCTTATGTTTCAACGAGTTGTGGCTGAACGAGGACATGGACAACATACAGCTAGCGGGCTATACGCTACATCGGCAGGATAGAGCGGCTGACTCCGGTAAGACAAGGGGTGGCGGTCTGTGTATATTTGTAAACAACAGCTGGTGCACAAAATCAAATACTAAGGAAGTCTCGAGGTTTTGCTCGCCTGAGGTAGAGTATCTTATGATAAGCTGTAGACCACACTATTTACCAAGAGAGTTTTCATCTATATTTTTCATAGCTGTCTATTTACCACCACAAACCAATGCTGGCATTAAGATTGCACTGAATGATCTGCATAAGGCCATTAGTGAACAGGAAAACGCTCATCCAGAGGCAGCGCTCCTAGTGGCCGGGGACTTTAATGCAGGGAAACTTAAATCCGTTCTACCTAATTTCTACCAGCATGTTAAATGTGCAAAAAAACTCTAGACCACCTTTACTCCACACACAGAGACGCATACAAAGCTCTCCCTCGCCCTCCATTTGGCAAATCTGACCATAACTATATCCTCCTGATTCCTGCTGATAAGCAAAAACTAAAGCAGGAAGCACCAGTGACTTGGTTAATAAAAAAGTGGTCAGATGACGCAGATGCTAAGCTACAGAACTGTTTTGCTAGCACAGACTGGAACATGTTCCGGGATTCTTCAGATAGCATTGAGGAGTACACCACATCAGTCACTGGCTTCATCAATAAGTGCATCGATGATGTCGTCCCCACAGTGACCGTACGTACATACCCCAACCAGAAGCCATGGATTACAGGAAACATCCGCACTGAGCTAAAGGGTAGAGCTGCCGCTTTCAAGGAGCGGGACTCTAACCCGGACGCTTATAAGAAATTCCGCTATGCCCTCCGACGAATCATCAAACAGGCAAAAATTCAATACAGGACTAAGATTGAATCATACTACACCGGCTCTGACGCTCGTCGGAGCCGCAAGGCTTGAAAACTATTACAGACTACAAAGGGAAGCACAGCCGCGAGCTGCCCAGTGACACAAGACTTCCAGACGAGCTAAACCACTTCTATGCTCGCTTCGAGGCAAGCAACACTGAAGCATGCATGAGAGCACCAGCTGTTCCGGATGACTATGTGATCACGCTCTCAGTAGCCGATGTGAGTAAGACTTTTAAGCAGGTAAACATTCACAAGGCCGCAGGGCCAGAAGGATTACCAGGACGTGTATTCCGAGCATGTGCTGACCAACTGGCAAGTGTTTTCACTGACATTTTCAACATGTCCCTGACTGAGTCTGTAATACCAACATGTTTCAAGCAGACCACCATAGTCACCGTGCCCAAGGACACTAAGATAACCTGCCTAAATGACTACCGACCCGTAGCACTGACATCTGTAGCTATGAAGTGCTTTGAAAGGCTGGTCATTGCTCACATCAACACCATTATCCCAGAAACCCTAGACCCACTCCAATTTGCATACCGCCCCAACAGATCCACAGATGATGCAATCTCTATTGCACTCCACACTGCCCTTTCCCACCTGGACAAGAGGAACACCTACGTGAGAATGCTATTCATTGACTACAGCTCAGCATTCAACACCATAGTGCCCTCAAAGCTCATCACTAAGCTAAGGATCCTGGGACTAAACACCTCCCTCTGCAACTGGATCCTGGACTTCCTGACGGGCCACCCCCAGGTGGTAAGGGTAGGTAACAACACATCTGCCACACTGATCCTCAACACGGGGGGCCCTCAGGGGTGTGTGCTCAGTCCCCTCCTGTACCTCTTCGTCTCTGCCTATAGGCTAGTGATTATCCCTCAATCCCTTCTCAAGGACCATTCCCCAATTTACTGTTTATGAACTACTCCAAACAAGAAGTTCCCGGCCGCACAGGAAAAATAAAGCTATTCTGTTGTATTCTAATCTATTCCATTCTCTAAAATAGACAGATGGAACAGTTCAAATCTCTCACACATTCCTATACTTTACACAAAAGCCCTAAAAAGGCAATACATATGAAACTATTAGGATGCTCAATGTCTATCTATGCTCTCTTGCCCTCTTTTTCCAATGCATAATACAATACAAACTTAACCATAAGGCTCTGCTCTGTTTATAATGGTTTAAACTATTCCTCAACTATTCTTAATGTCTGTCATTCTACAGATTGCAACAGCAGGGGAGATGAGTCTGATTCTGTCTGATTCTGAATTATGTTTGCCAGAGTGGTTTCACACAATGACCGTTCAATCGGTCCTTTCAGTTGACTTGGTATAAGTGGCATTGTCTATCATGGGAGAATGATAGCTAGCCTTGGGAGAAAATGAAGTTGGAATTGGACGTCTGGTAAGAGATTGTTACCATAGCCTTTGACCTGCCTCATTTCTAGAGCTGTGTAGGAGAGGTGTAGAGGTGTAGAGATTAGTCTCTCACCAATGGGATATGAATAAATGTATGTCGCTTTGGAAAAAAGTGTCTGCTAAATGGCATACACTGAGTGTACAAAACGTTAGGAACACCTGCTCTATCAATGACAGACTGACCAGGTGAATCCAGGTGAAAGCTATGATCCCTTATTGATGTCACCTGTTAAACTCACTTCAATCAGTGTAGATGAAGGGGAGGAGATGGGTTAAATAATTATTTCTAAAGCCTTGAAACAATTGAGACATGGATTGTGTATGTGTGCCATTCAGAAGGAATGGGCAAGACAAAATATTTAAGTGCCTTTGAATGGGGTATGGTACTAGGTTCCAGGTGCACCGGTTTGAGTGTGTCAAGAAC